TCAAAAGAGCCCCAAACTCTGTTACTACCAGTGCTAAGTGAACAGAGTCCGGCAGCAGCAGCCCCAGACAAAACGGTCTGGAGCCAATTGGGTGAGGTCTTATCCAGGCTGGGTCTGCTGGCCAGGTTAGTCTTGGGGTCCCTTCATGGTCATCAAACTGTCAGAAGCAAAAGAGATAATGATGACACATGGACTGTTGCTTGGAGAGGAGGCAGTTTATTTTTGAGAGCACAGCAGAGAAAACACAGCTTTCGAAAGGTAGCCTACAAAATTGGGGTGTCAAGGTTTTTATAGGGAAAATGTGTATGTGAAAGGGTTTATTAAACTGTTTATTCTGGTGGATGTGCAGTTCTCCTGGAAAACAAGTTTTTAATTAAATTTAGTTGCTATATAGATTTTCTCTTTGATGTGCATGGTGCTGGAGGCTCTCCCTGTGTACCTAAGGAAGTCAATATTGTAAAGAATTTCCTGTTTGTTTATTCTTCGATCTAATCAACTTTAGTAAGGCTGTCACCTATGGGCTAGCTAGGCCTTTGTATGTATAGTTTTATTTTAAAATTAAATGCTTCTAATTTATTTTCTGATACCAGTTTTGGAATTGGGAATAGGAATAAAATACTTCCTTGGAATGCCTTCTAACATTGTACTATCATTATAAGACAGTCTGGTCCGGAAAGAATACATGGATCTAGTACAGACATGTCAAACACAAGGCCTGGGGGCCAGATGCGGCCCGCGACGTGGTTTCATGTGGCCCACGAAGCCATCCTGGAAACAGTGAGGGAACGGCCCCCGTTGTCTTGGCCCTGGCCCAGGCTGGCCAGGAGCCAATGTACAATTTTATGGTGCCATCTATGCTGAAACACATCCAGTCTTAGCTCCACAAGGCTGTCTAGAAACAGCAAGGAACCAGTCCCTGCCAGGTCACCCCCACCCCCTGCCTGCTGGGGAGGTGTCACCTTTGTGAAGAATGAAGAACTGCACCATCGCGCTGGCCGCTTCCAGGCGATGGTGCATTTCTTCATTCCTCATGAAGGGTGACACCTCCCCAGCTGCGTTTCTTGCCTGTTTCTCTTCCTCCCTCATCTCAAATATTTTCCCATCACGCTGTACTTAGGAAAGAAGGAAGGAAAGAAGGAGAAGGAGGGTCTGAGGGAAGTCCTACCTTAGTCCTGCCCTGCTACTCTTTCACCATCCCCTTACTCCCTCTTCCTGGCCTATCCTAGGGGTCCCCATCCTATTGCTAAGGAAGCTTTGGATACAAAGCCGGGTCTCCTCCCATGGAGAGGGAATGGGCCTCCCTTTGACTTTGCCCTTGTACCCATCATGAGCCACCTGGCTAAGGAGAGCAAGCACAGCAGCAGCAGCCTTGAGAAGGAGGTAAGTGCATCTGGGTGCCCCCTTGGGGAAGTGAGACTGGGCTTGGTGCTGTGGGTGCTCGAGGGCCAGGCTGGGCGTTTGACCTCTACTGCCCAGAGCTCTGGGCAGCCTGCACCACCATCCAGCCCCCCCCGCATGGCCTGAAAGGAACAGTGAGGCTCCTCCAGTGGACCATGCCATGGCACTTGCTTTGGTCCCACCCCCTTCTGCCAGAGATCCTCAGATCTGTCCCACCCCTGCCCAGGCCCCCACAGGCACCCTTGATGCAAACGATGTAGAGCTAGCCATGCCCACCCAGTAGGCCACACCCACTCCATCCACGCTCACCCAGTAGACCACACCCACCCTGGCCACACCCACCTGCCCCCGAGGGCAACCGCAATGCTGATGAAATGAAATTGAGTTTGACACCCCTGATCTAGTAGGAATGCTTATATACATGCTTAAATTATATTCACACAGCTCATTTTGAGAAATGTCAGCCTTGCATCTCATAAAGTTCATTGAGAAAATCTATTTTTGTGGTTGCTAGGAGTTGAAAACAACTTGATGGCACATAATCTATGTCATAAAAGTGTGAGAAACTGCAGATTTAGACCATTCTGAATATCTAATATAAGGAAACGTCTCATCATTTCCATTGGCTTCAATAGAATGAACATCCTAATTTTCATTTCTGTTATTGAAAAATTCAGCTTGCCAGTGGCGAAACTAGTGCAGAGCATAGTAGAAGAGTGACTGATAAGGCACCAGCCACCTCAATATTTTAGCTTATTTATAGTTTTGTAAAATTAAGACCAGTTGTTCAAAAGTAAACTCTTGTCTTTTCTAACCAGCCATGTGTGAGGACTGGGATTCTTAGAATTGGTCTCCTGCAGGTTGGGTTAGCTTGTTTACACCTCCTCACTTGTATGCATTATCCCATGACTGGTCAAAATAACATCATGTGGTGTAAAGATTATGACACCATGCAGCACTCTAGTTTGTTCCTAGAAACTCATCATAGCCTATTCCAAATTTCTGAAAGATCTTGGTTGTCCCAAGTCCTCTTCGTGTTTATCTCCCAACTCAATCTTACCCACACTTGGCTGGAGAGAGCAAGGGAAGATAGCAGCAGCTACAACTTGCTTGCTGGAGACAAATGAGCAAAGTTGCTGGTTGGAAGAAGTAGTTACTAGTTTCCCTAATACTTATTTATCTACAGGTAGTCTTTGACTTATGACAACTAAATCCAAAATTTCTGTTGCTAAGCAAGATAGTTAAGTGGTTTTGCCCCATTTTATGATCTTTCTTGCCACAGTTAAGTGAATCCCTTCAGTTGTTAACTCTCCTTGTCAGGAGGTCACAACAGATGATCACATGACCCTGGGACACTGCAATCATAAATACATGCCATTTGCCAAGTGGCCAACTTTTGATCCCATGATCATGGGCATGCTGCAATGGTCATAAGTGTGAAAAATGATCATAAGTCACTATTTTCAGTGCCATTATAATTTTGAATGTACACTAAATGAATGGTTGTTAAGTAGAAGACTTCATATGGCTGCTCTTCTCACAAGCAAATGAGTGACTCTGGGCATTGTACAACAAAAATAATAAATATCTAAAATCCTTATTAATAAATACTAAAAGCATTAAAAGCTATAAAAACAGCTAAAAAAAATAATCAGGTGTTGAGGAATCTTGGAAAGCTTAGAAGTGATGAGGCTATTCTCACTTTAGGTGTGTGTGAGATTCCACAGCGTGGAGGGTCACAGCAGGAAAGGCCTGCTATCTAGGGTCTGCCAAACGTAGCTCGCTACAAAACAGAACCCCCAACATGTCCATTCTGTTAAATCTGGTCGAGCAGGTGGATGAAATCAAGGAAATATAGTTCCTCAAATAACACGGCCTCCTGCCTTGTAGTTTTTAAAGGTCAATATCAGCACTTAAGTTGGACCGAGAAACCATCTTGTAACCAATGCAGCTCTGCAGCAGAACTGTAATGGGTTCGACCAGATATAAACATAATTGGTTGTATTGCTGTATTTTGCACCAGTTGAAGTTTTTGAATAGTCTGGAAGGGCAACCCCATGTAGAGCTCACTGCAAGTCAGAGCAATAATTGGGTCAGATCTATTTGCCATGTTGCCCAGAAGGAGAGGGAATAAATAAACTGGAGCTGTTCCTTGAAGCTGCCACCCAAGCCAGCAACTCAGCAACGTAGGCTTTTATGCAGCTGCTTTTTCTCTATCCAAGTAGTGCACAGGGAAGAAGGGCACTCTCTCCAGTTACCACATTCTCATTCCCACAGAGGACCAATGGCAGCTTCTCACAAGTAATTTTACCCAGCAGTCAGAGAGATGGCAAAGAATAGCTTGCTCTCCCTACTTATCCTTGGCGGAATAAGGAGTGTTAGGAGGCCCCAGGAGGAAATGGGGGAGGGGGTGTCAAGGGCTGAACTGGCAGGTGCCCCTGCCCCTTGGTGGAGTAGGAAAGCTGAAGCAAGGAGCAGCAGCTGCTGCAATCCCACCTTTCTCCCTTGGCTAGAGAAGGTTTGGCCTGGAACGGGTAGGCAACCTCGGCTCTTTTATGACTCATGGACTTCAACTCCCAGAATTCCTGAGTCAGCATAGCTGACTCAGGAATTCTGGGAATTGAAGTCCATGAGTCATAAAAGAGCCGAGGTTGCTTACCCCGGCACTGGAAGATTGCAGGCCCTGTTCTCTCGTGCAGGAGGTCCCGGCGCTGAGGGAAAGGAAACACCTGTTCTTGGCAGGCCTGGTTACTTCTCGCTGCAAGGGATGGCTTTCCATTTCTACAATTCCTGCTGTCCCAACAAAATCAGGCCGGGTCAGGTGAACCACTCCCTGCTACCATCATCTGCCCACCCAAGTAGCAGCTTTTCCATTTTTCAGCCCGTAGGCAGCTGCCTGGAGTCTTATGGGCCCAGTTGCAGCCTGGAGGGATGAGGCATTTAGCAGGCGTACATCTGCCTGCTTTGGCGGTTGGTACTGCAGCTTATTACAGATGGAAGGTTGCCCCTCCGGAGGGTCAATCGGAGCTTTTTTGAGCCGCGCTGCTGGCCGTCAATCACAAGTGCGGCTTTGGCCCTCCGAGCTAGAGTATATCCCTGCTGCTTAGGAGTCCGGTTCCATCGAGCTTCGCATTCCCTCAGACCGACGCGTGGAGGGATAAAACAGGTCGGGTGATGGAAGGATACTCTACAAAGGACTGCACCATTTCAGATCACAGGCGGCAAGAAAACACGTCGGGGTCGTTTATCTTCGGTTAACCCATGCCTCGGCGAGCCAATAGAGCAGGTAAACTCTTTCTTTCACTTGCTTTTTTCCAAATTGAAAAGAAATACCGTTTGAGACGGAGAAAAGGTTCAGAACTGCTTCCTCCTTAGAACCTGAAGTGGTATGGTCCAGAGCACGCACCATTTCCAGGGTTCTGCATTATTCTGCAACCAGCGCGCGCTCCCCAGCCGGACGCTTTCCTAGCAATCCTCCGCCTTGTCGCCATTTATGGAAAACGGGCGAGACGAGTGGCCGCTGCTGGAATAAAACTCCAAGGACCCCCCCCCGCGCGCGCACGCGCGCGCACGCGCGCGCTTTCCCTCCGGTGGGTTCTTGCCCCGACACTGCCAAATGTATAGCCCCCTCCACGCTGCCGCCCTTGCCCGTTCGCTCCTCCCTCGCGCTCCTCATTCGCCGAGCGTCCCCCTTTCGCCAGAATCCCCCGCGTAGAGTTGTGGATGCTTCTGGAAGAGGAGGGGGCTACCGCGACCGAGTGACTGATTGGAGGAGCGGTCCGGGTGGGAAGGGGGTGGCTGGAGCTGAGCCCAGAGCGCTTTAGCCTTGCATCAGCCTTATCTAGTGGGAGGGCGCCTCCGCCACTGGTTCTGGCCGCCTTCCTCGCGGTCCAGGGCGTGAGTGAGGCGGGCACCTCGTGCATAAAAGGCGCTCCGTGGGGCAAGAGCACGCGGCGGCTAGAAAGAGCTGACCTTTCCCTCGGCCCCCGAGAGGGTCTTGCTGGAGGCATTTATTAAAAGTTCTCTAGCACAGCCCGGCCGGTCCCCCCCCCCGATCCTCAGTTTGGTCTGGGCGCCTTTTCTGATTTGGATTGGATAGCGGTTTCCGCCAGCTGAAGCGACCGGCATGGAGAAACCAGCTGAGAGCCGGAATGGCTTTCTGGAGCCCACGGTGCTAAGCGGCTTCGAGGCTGGAGAGGAAGGTGTAAAGCAGCCTCGGCTGAAGCTCTTCCAGCTGCGGAGCTTCGGGCGGTTCCTGAGGAAAAACTGCATCGTTATCTTGACCGTAACCGGCGTGCTGGTTGGAGTGGCCATGGGCGCCCTGATGAGGCAAATGCCGCTCACCCGGGCTCAAATCACCTACTTGGCCTTTCCGGGAGAGATGCTGCTCCGTATGTTGAAGATGATCATTCTGCCCTTGGTGATCTGCAGTCTGGTCTCCGGAGCAGCCAGCCTGGACACTCGGTCCCTGGGCAAGCTGGGCGGCATCGCCGTCGCCTACTTCTTGGTTACAACCTTGATCGCCTCGGCGCTCGCCGTTGCCTTGGCCTTCATCATCAAACCCGGGGTCGGCGCCGGGGAGCTCAATAGTAAAGACTTGGGCTTGGATGGCGCCATGCCCACCAATAAGGAGACTGTGGACTCTTTCCTGGACCTAGCAAGGTAAGGAATCGGGGGGGGGGGGCTTCCTTCCTGAGGTCTCTAGTCGAGAGGCGAACTTGGAGGAATCATGGATGAGCGTTAGCTCCCTTGTGGGAGGCGAGGGAGGCTGTTACCCTCTTTTATTTTTGGGAAATGCAACTCTCATAATTTTAATATTGATTATGTATGTAGTACTGATGGGAGTTATGGTCCAAAACGCCTGGAGGATACTAGGATATTTGGCTTTTGCAAATTCCAAGTTATTTCTTACCTCCAGGTCTGTCTGATGCTTTTAGATTCTACTGAGTCTGGCTTTTGGGGAAGGTAAGAAGTAGAAGGGACTTACATTGTACTTTGTCTTCCTCCTTTGCTTATAGGACTTCTTTTGGTAAAATAATCTCTTATTTTTATTTATTTAGTTAGTGTGTTGCCTTTGTCTAGAAGCTATTAGTATAAACTTAGAAATTAGTATGTATTCCATCTTTGCTTTGCAAAGAACTTGAAGCTGATGAAATACTAGCAAAAGATGAATGTTGATTGTAGTAATGGAAAAAGTCCTGAATAAGGATATGTGAATATAAAAGGTAGCCAATATAGGATCAGGAAATTAAAATGCCTAATAACATGCAGGTTTTGGGTGTTCAAAATTTACTTAACAGATGCATTATGGTACTGTATTAAGTTTAAAGACCTGGGGCCATTTCATGAGGCATAGGCATAATTTCAGCTTATAGATGTCTATATAGCAGTGGTTCTCAACCTTTTTAATGCTGCGACCCCCAACCGGTCGTAAGTCGAGGACTACTCAACTGGTCGTAAGTCGAGGACTACTCAACTGGTGCAGCACCGTTTGCAGAATGGGACTTTTGGCAGGCTCAGCAGGGCAGAGACAGCCTGGACAATTCCTATTGGCTTTTGAAAGCCAATAGAATTAGACTCTATTCAAGAGAGTCTATTCTATTGGCTTTCAAAAGCCAATAGAATAAAAGGGAGTAGCACAGCTAAGGAAAAGGGGGAAAAAAATGGCGGACTGCGTTGTTTGGCGACCCCCGTGAAATGGTCGTTTGACCCCAAATGGGGTCCCGACCCACAGGTTGAGAACCACTGCTATATAGGAATTGGGAGAAAAGAGAAACATAAACAGAGGCCCTTCAAAGCCAAGGAATATATCTGATACAATCAATAACATTTCTATGCAAAATTCTAATTATATGTAAGATAAGTATGGTATCCACATGTGTGAATTTTTAGGCTTTTGTAGAATTTTAGACTGTTATCTGAGAAAACTCAATCTGTTAAAAGCTTTGCTTTTTTTTTAATCTTTAATTTTTTGGGTTGAGAAAAGTATTCAGTTTATTTCAGCAAAATTGTGCTTATGTCCTGCTCTTATATGGTCTCCCATTCAGGTTACTCATCACTCAGAGTTACTTTGCAGATGTCATGGGTTGCTTATCTTACCTTGATTTGAGGATGTAGGATTGGGTTGGGAAGAAAAAACATCTAGTGGAGGATCCTTTGCTAATTTGATTTGTTAGAATTTCTTACTCTCAATCAATTAACAAAAAGTCTACAACCAGGACTCTACAAAGAAAGCATAGGAGCAATATGAGGACAGTTCACTTCTTCTACATAAAACAGAAACTGCTGATTCAGAATGTGTAGCTTTTGCATTTAAGCTGGTTAAGTATACTCTGAGATTTGAATGGAAAATGATATCAAATCCTGCTTGATATCAAGATGATTAGTTAAATAATTACCAAACATGGTATTGTTGTATGGCATTTAGAGAATAAGCATGCCAACAGACAATACTTATTTGTACATGGATGGAGAAATTCTCTGTGTATCAAAATGGTTAAAAAACTAAGGTACATTGTAGAATAAAGTTTAAAGACCATGTCTATTTTATTTTTTAAACATTTTAAAATTTTTGACAAATTTTTATCCCATTTCCTTGTCAATGTAAACATCACTGTTAACACCAAATTTAGAAACATAGGACTTTTTACTTGCAATTTCTCAGATGTGCATATTTTTCAATACATTCTTTGTGAGAGAATTGCTCTGCATAATTCAGAATAATAAAAATTGAAAGGTAACTATGGGGTTTCATATTGGGAGGTGCATATATGTTTAGTAAATTCATATCAAAACATGAACTAAATGAATTTATCTCCATGGCTCTTTAAAACTTACAAGAAAGATCATAGAGTAAAAGTTAAAAAGAATAGCGAAGCATTTATTAATCATAACAAGGCAGGATTTGAATTTTTGGGTATTTTATTTTCAACAGATGCTCGATCCCAATATGAATAAGGTTGACCAACATGTTGTCTACCTGACTTCTTGTGATATAAAATTGGTGCAAGAATTGAAAGCCCCTGATCATTCAGGATGACTGACTGAATCTGGGAATTATATCAGTAGCAATGAGATAACTCCTCTAACAGCTGTCCTGCTGGTTTTTCTCTCAGGACAAATCAATCACCAAAGAAAAAGAAAACACCTGATGTCTTATCTTTTTACTCAGAATTTACTTGCTTTGTTTCATTAGCTGCTGCCAAAAAGGGAGGATAGTTACCCACATTCCTCACATTTCAGCTTATTATATTTTCCTGTGGGAGAAAAGAAAGAGTAAGATGGGACTTATTCCTTTTGGAGACAGGCATATCATGTCCTATAGCATCAAGTTGCAAACTTATTAAGAACTCTTCGTTTGTGATAGCATCCCCTAGATATGAATTGGATCAAGGTCACAATTTCATATCAGAGTTAAAAATTATAATCCAAACACCTGTTTAAATAAAACAGTATTCACACCTGTGAAAGGTTGGTTGGTGGCATACCAGGCATAGCACGAGAGGCCAGGTGTTCCACATCACCAAGGTCATTTCAGAGTAGAATTCCTTTTGGGTCCATGCCTTTTTGGCTTCTTATATGGCTGAGTTGTGAAGACACTTGCCTCCCACTCAGGTTGAGAGTTTAATCCTTGGTAGTAGCAGATGTTTCTCTTCTAGGGCACAAAGAAAAAATATCTGCTGCAAACTCCATGTAGGTGTCAGGAAGGGAATCTGGCCAGTAAATGCACAGCTACATCCAGTTGCCCTGGCTCTACCTCAAATTAAGGGACTATAGGGTTGTTAAAAAATAGGATAAGGATTCTAAACATCCTCTCCCTACACTTTTGTAGGCCAGAGAAATATTTTTTGGTAGATAGTTGTTAAGGTGTTCTGAAGCTAAGCCATAGATAGCTTTATGTGGATTCAGAAATCATTGGTAATCAAGATAATCAATGTAACATTGCAGTTGCAGCTCTTTCCTGTTCACATCCTGGCCACTGAATTTTGTACAACTTCAATTTCAGATCACTTTCAGAGGCATCCCCATGTTACAGTTCTTTAAGTGCATGGTGAGGAGGGAATGAATCTGCCATCAGGTCACATCCCATGGTGATACATTTAATTTAGCTTTATTTACTAAAGGAAATTGCAGTGAGATGGGCAGCAAACAATTTAATAAATAAATAATGTTTCAAGTTTCTATCCCTCAAAATAAGCTCTTAATTTACCACCAGTTAATTTGGTCAGAAGAATGTTCTTCAGGTAAAAGGTTCTGCGAGTATATATGTATCAGTATTTGAGAGATTTTTAAAATTGTACAATTTGTATTAACTTATTAAATTTATATACTGCCCATCTCATTCTGCAAAGTGACTGCTAGCCAATTAATTTGCAATTTACTTAGAAGGTTTCCAATAACCAGTTCAAGTCAATCAGTTGTTTTCACTTAAAAAATGCTATGTATTACTGGTGTATTATAATAATAGAATAAAACAATATAAAGGGAGAAAAAAGATTGCACTAGTGTATGAGAAAAAATAGCTAGGGTTGACTTGGTACTAAAGTGGACATGTGAAATGTTACCCGTTTAACAAATAACTCAATTAGAAATCTAATTGAGAAAACAAAGGACAAAAATCTTTGGATTATTTGTTTCCATTCCCATAAGCTGAGTCTCTAGCAAAGAATGATCCTTGTGTAAAAACTAACGTGAGACATTGGGGGGGGGGGGATTTTGCTGTTCTGAATCTGCACAAGTCTGAAAGAGATTAAAGTAGTACTTGCTTATATCTAGATCTCTGGATCTTAGTACAGAATTGTATAGAGGTCCTTTTCTTTAGACAGCCACACTTATATTTCCAGCAAATATGGCCTCAATGTCAATGTTCCCTTATATAGTTTTATGTACAATAAATGAAGGCAAAAAATGAAATAATAGATTTCTTAAATAAAAAGATATCAATATGAAGATAGGACATTATTAAGATACTTTATTACAGGTTTGCTTAGGATATTGGGGGAAATTGTAATCACAGATGTTAGGCTTTTCCAAGAAGAATAGGAATGGTCTAATTTAAATTCCATGGAATAAAAGTGAATCTACAAGGAAACGTTAGAAAATCTAAATTATTTCTTTTCATTATTAATAGAGGTAAAAGCATCAGGAAAGTTCAAAATTGCTGATAAATACATTTGTCTAGACCACAGGTCGGCAACCTGCGGCTCCGGAGCCGCATGCGGCTCTTTGAGCCTTCCCCTGTGGCTCCCAGCCTCCTCTGCCTTTGCAGAGAGAGACAGAGACAGGCAATTGCGCTTCCCTGCTTCTGTGTGTATGTGTGTGTGTGTGTGTTTTGTGTGTGTGTGTGTGTGTGTGTGTGTGTATGTGTAAAAGAGAGTGCACTCACATTGTTCTCCGAGGAGCTGAAAAGCTTTCTGGGCGGAGCTCCTCCCTTTGCTGCTCTCTGCAGGAAGCAGGAAGGGCAGGAGAGAGCTAACTAGCCCAGCTAGGCTGACTCAGGAATTCTGGGAGTTGAAGTCCATGAGTCATAAAAGAGACGAGGTTGCCTACCCCGGAGATTGTTGGAGAACAACTTGAAGCTTACCAGGTGAGCAGCAGATGGGGGGGAGAAAGAGAGAGAGAGAAAGAGAGAGAGGGAGGGAGGGGGAGAGAGAGAGGAAAGAGAGAGAAAGAAAGAGAGTGGGGGAAGAGGAGTGGCAGACCAAGGGCAGAGAGGGAGGGAGGGAGAGAGACAGAGAGAGAGAGACCCTTTTGACATCTAAAATGAAGATAACACTGCATATATCCTTTTTTTACCTCTGTGTGTATGTAATTTTATTCTCTTAAAGCATTCTCTCGGTGATCATTGTTTTAATAGTATGGATATTCCCAAGAGTCATATTTTTACTTTTATTTTTAATGTGTGTGTGTGTGTGTGTGTGTGTGTGTGTGTATACACACACACATACACAAACACTCTCTCTCTCTCTCTCTCTCTCACACACACACACACACACACACACCTATAATAAAGATAAAAAAGGATATATGCAGTGTTATCTTCATTTTAGATATCAAAAGGGTTTTGCGGCTCCCAGTGTTTTGTTTTTGGTGGGAAACGGGTTCAAGTGGCTCTTTGAGTGTTTTGGGTTGCCTATCCCTGGTCTAGACAGTTGTGGATTTAGCATTTCCTAATCATTATGGGCAAGTTCATATAGCATGAATTGAATATAGAACTGGAGATCAGACAGCTTACACTGTGCTTCAGACAATGGATCCTCTTTTTGTTCTACCAATCTTTCTGTTTCCTTTTATCCTGAGTGCAATAGACCTGAAAGCTTCTGTTCCCAGCAGTGTTTATAGAATTAGCCTCTAACCTTTGATTCAGACTTGACAACAGATTAGAGCTGTTAATTCTGCAGGTGCATTTTCTGTGATGTTTGGGATGCATGGGTCTGATTTGAAGTTAAACATTAGGATAGGATATTGCAGGATTCAGCTTGCTCTTGGAATGCGCAAACGGCAGTTTTTTATCCCTCTCAGGAGAAAGTTTTCTGTATTTATTGTACTCTTACAGTAAATCAGGTTATTAATTCAGAAATTTTATTTGGAAGTTGATTGGGAACAGAACTGAGTTAAATCCCTCTGATGAGTTTTATTCTCCCTCTTTCCAGTATTTTCTACTATATTCTCTACTATGGTCTTCTATGAAGTATTTTTGTAATAGTACATTTTGCAATTATGGAAATATCCAAGGGCATTTCCTAATACTGCTTGACAGAACTTGGATAAATTAGCTGTATTCAAACAATATTCCCAATTTAGTTACTAAATCGACCTAGTATCTAACTTCACTGAATGCACTGATTGGACAACTAACCAAACAAACTGGATTTATATAAAGCATAACAAAATTAACCAAGTGTAACACTAACCATACTTTCGCAAATGCCTCAACTGGATCTTTACCTGACCAAGTTAGGTAAACTGTATGAACGCAGCCAACGTGTGAATCTCTTTTTGAAATTTTGTTGCATTATTACTTCACTTATTGAAGATCTGAGTTAATCTGTTGATCCTAGAAGATTTGGACATGGACAATATGAAACAAGACAGAACTTCATGCTAAAGATTTATGCAGCCTTTGGTTGGAATTTATCATAGCAACTTCTTGTGACATCCATAATGCACATGTGCACATAAGGTATAATGCTAGAAAAAAACATGCCATATACTGCAGAAATAATCCAAATGAAACATTAGTACTACTCAAAGTAATGTAATTATATAGGATCCCCAATCCATCCATGTTTGACCATCTATCTCAAAAGCAGCTAATTACATCAGTTCATTGATCTCTCAGTTTCAACAAAAGTTTTTCCTAATAGCCAAATACAATAGTTTGCCTTCAGCACTTTTATACACTGTGTTTCCCCGAAAGTTAGACCTAGCCCGATAGTAAGCCTTAGCTTGATTTTTGGTGGTGGGCCTAATATAAGCTCTACTCCAAAACTAAGCCCTAGTTTTGGGGTGAGGCACACTCCTAAAAATCTACGGCGGGGGTAGGGGCGGTGAAGCTGCCCCACGCGCCCCACACACACTTACCTTACTGGTAGGACCATCACAGCCAGGCCTCCCACACCTCGACACCTGTCACACTGCTACTTGACTTCTGCAGCCGATTGTCACTTGTGGCTGGCTGCCATGTGGCGCATTACGCCGATGCGACTTGCGGCAGGACGCCACATGGTGCTTTGCGCCGTTTCTGCTGCTTGCAGCAGGAGGCCACATGGTGCTTCAGGCGGTTTCTGTTGCCCAAAGAGCCACGTAGCTTCCTGCCATGAGCAGCAGAAATGGTGCAAAGCACCATGCGGCGTCCTGCCGGGAGGAGCGGCAAAGGCGCAATGCGCCACAAGTGTCCAGCCACAAGTGGTGGCAAGCAGCCACAGAAGAAGTCAAGCAGCGGTACGACAGGTGTCGAGGTGTGGGAGGCCTGGCTATAGTGGTCCTAATGTAAGACATTCTCCAAAATTAAGACCTAGTGCCTCTTTTGGAGGCAAAACAAATATAAGACCGGGTCTTAATTTTGGGAAAACACAGTAGGAGAGTAATAAAATTCCTACAGCTAGTCAAACATACCCTTGTAGTGATGGATCAGTTGGATCCATACACCTTGTGCTGCTATATTGATAATTTTACAAAGATATCCAAAGAAGGCTTGTTTTCCCTTTATTGTTAGAGGCTCCAGACTCATCTAAGAAATTTTATATTAATTTAGAGAAGCCCTTTTATGCATAATACAGCAAAGTTCTGTGCAGCAGTTGTGAATGTGTAGAGGCAACTAGACATATGAGCAATATCTATTCCATTCAGTTTTGTATGAATAAATTACTAGCTGTAACTAATTATCCATATTTTAGATTATTAGACTTTGTACAGTATACCTTATTTTTATATTGTTAATTTGCTATTCCATAGATTCAACACCTAGCTTTGCACTTCATCTACAATTAATTTTGTGATTCCCCATCTGTTTTTCTTCTTCTTCTGTTCAATGGTGTTCAGATCTCGGAGACTGTCTAGACAAGCTCCTGCAGTCTTCTTGCCAAGGTTTTTCAGAAGTGACTTGCCATTGCCTCCTTCCTAGGGTTGAGAGAAAGTGACTGGCCCAAAGTCACCCATCTGGCTTTTGTTCTAAGGCAGGACTAAAACTCACAGTCCCCAATTTCTAGTCTGGCACCTTAACCACTATATCAAACTGGCTCTCATCTGGTTCTTAAATAGTTTTAATTGTATCTTAGTCTTAATAAAGCACACTTCTGCATTATTTTATTTATACTTAAGTATGCCATTTCTTTATAGTTCTATCTTTTTCAGCCTTGTTTCAAGCTGGTTGTTGACTGAAATAAACTTATCTATTTGCAATGATACGTGGCTTTCCTTATGAATTGAACTTTGCTTATTAGATATCATACCTCTATGAATACTTTACACATTGATATTTGATTTCTATACTGGTACTATAATGTACTGTACACATTATACCTTAGAATTGTATAATGTACTGTTATACCTTAGAATTGTATAGAACAGTGGTTCTCAACCTGTGGGTCGGGACCCCATTTGGGGTCGAACGTCCATTTCACGGGGGTCGCCAAACAAGGCTGTCCGCCATTTTTTCCCCCTTTTCTTTGGCCATGCCCCTGGCACCCAGTGATTTATAAATGGTTGGAGGTCATCACAACATGGGGAACTGTATTATGGGGTCGCGGCATTAGAAAGGTTCAGAACCACTGGTATAGAACTATAGAATATCTATTAGAAATGTATTTAATGTACTTAACAATATTTAAGTACTCACTACTTTTTAAAAAAATCAATTCCCTTCTTAAACAGAGAAGCAGGAATTCTTATTAAAAGGTTGTGGAGTGCTTGCCTTTTTGCACATTCTCATTGGCCAGCTGGATGGAGCCCTAGCTGGCAATGTAGCACAGGCTTCACTCACTTGATGGCGTAAAGCTACTATAGAGAGTAAGAAGGGTGAGACTGGTAGTTGTGTAGAAATATCTTTAGGGCCATAAAGGTGTAACCTATGAATATATGTTTTTCCATTAATGCATAAATGTGTTTGGCATGTTAAAAATAAAATAGGGAAAACAAATATCTGTGACTAAATTTTGATATTAAGATTATTTTGCATTTTTAATTGAAATAATTCACTGATTTACTCTCTATTTTGACCATTATTGCCCATGGATTGCAGTTTCTGTAGTTTAGTAAATTTTGTAGGAAGCGTCATGTGATCACTGAAGAAAACAGTTATTAATAACATTGTTACTTATTCGTAAGATCTTTGAAATGTGCTGTTAAGGCAAGTATGTCTATTAAAGCCTAAAAAATGCTGATGCAATAAAGCACTCTGCCCTGTTAATGATGAACTACTGCTAAATCCTAAAACAGGGATTATTTTATATCAATGTGCAAACAATTAAGATTATAAACTATTGTCAACTCCTAATTTTTGTATTTTTTTTTCCAGAAATTTGTTTCCATCAAATCTCATTGTTGCAGCCTTTCGATCGGTAATTATCTGTGCATCTATTTAAAAATCTGTTCTGGACTGTTCTGGAATCTTGAGATTTCAATCAGAGTTTGATTTTCTATAATGCAGGATATAGCAAAATCTAGGTAGTACAAAAATGTATTTTACAAGAGTCAATCTATACACAATTATAAGAGTATCTAAACCGATACTTGCTATTATGGAGATCTTACCAGTTTGTATAATTAGGAAATTCAAAATATTGAACAAGGGTAATGGAAGAATTTCTCACTGTTTGCAATTTGTTGCTTGAATCCTTGATACTTAAGCAATTTCATGCCTTTCAAAGTCTTCCCTCTGCGTTCTATAAAACTGGGAGGCAATAAAGCATAGAAGGTGTTTGCCAAAATAAGAACCCTTAATCTGGATTTGTAAAATATAAACAAGCTCAAAAAAAAAATGACCTCTGTGGACCTCTTGCTGCCAATTCACATCCTTTTTATTGTTTGATTTAAATTCCCTGACATTTTTGAAACAGAATCTTAATGATTGGATCTTAATCCCACTAATAAAAGTGCCATCTATTTACCCTATTCCTCCACTGCTTAAGATTGAGTTTCTCTTTCTCCCTCTATAAATTGTTCACATTTCGTTGCAGCATGCAGGTGGTGGTGTTCCCAAATGACAAGGAGTTCTTAGGCACTCGCTCCTCTGACCAGAAGGATTTCTGGATCATAGTCTCACAAGCTAAATATTAGCTTTTTGAAGTATCTGCTTTATAAAATTTGTTGAAATTTATTTTAGAAAATAAAATCTAATCCTATAATAAGCTACAGTCCTTTGTATTAAATATATTTTTATTAAGTTGGAATCTAACAAGCCTAAATATATGTTACTATGTTTACTGGCAGCTACAAACTATGTTGGAAGTGCTGCAATCTTCTTATGGAATTTCACATTTAATCTGCAAGTTAACTAGCACTTGACTCTCAGCTGATCCGATTCCATTTTTAGTAATAGGAAATCCTTGTGTTCTGTGATTAGCTGTTTTAAAAGGAGGAACTTTTGCTAGTGTTGCCCCATTTGGATGCAGTATTCTTTTACTACCTGTTCTTTTGTTCCTAGCTTAGTTTGCTGATGCAAAGAGACAGCTCCTGATGACTGAATGTTTTTATTCTTTCGTCCTACCAAAATGCTTCAGATATGCAGGAAGCCTTTAACAGTTCATAGGCACAGGTTTTTCATGCATAAGCAACTTCATTCTATATTTTAAAAAATAACCAAATTGGATCTATAACTTTATCAAAGATGTTGTAATTCTCAATGTTTCACATAAAAGAAATCCAGAAATAGATTTTACAAGACCTATATATTTGTTTAAAAGTGCACCACAACTATTAATAAAACGAATGTTTTCCATTTCAGTATGCTACTGATTATAAAGCCATAGTTAGAAATTCAACCATTGGCAATGTTACCATTGAAAAGGTAAGTAATTATTTTTAAAAAAATTATGTTACTGTTTAGTATGCATGCTTTTGAATTAATCCTTTGAATCATTACAATTATTATTTAACCGGATTCACTTTTTTGTTCAAAATTAAATCTCACTCTTTTCAATGACTAGGCCCAGGATTGTACTTCAGGGAATGTTGAAAAGCATCCGGGGGGGGGAGGGGGGGAATAAGCACAGAAGAAAACTGTCCAGGCAATAGGAATGGGCAACATATGACCCTCCAAATATTAGTGTACTTCAGTTGCTATCAGCACCGACTAATAAAGCTGGTGGTTAGAGATTATGGGAGTTGTAGCCCCACATTGAGAAGACAGCACTTTGCCAAGTATGTCCTAGACTTTAAAAGAAAATGTTTATTCTTGAGTATAGCAAGAGCAGCTTTCTAGTGATATGTATGTAATCAAAATACTATTTTTCATCAACAGTACATTGTTGATTATAAAGAAATAATAAATGCCTCCCTTGGGAATGCCACTATTGAAAAGGTAAGGAAAGGATTATTTTATGAAATATTTTTGTTGGTATATGCTTGCTTTAGGATTAGGGTTTTGTTCCAACTTCTAACTGTGAATGAAGTAAAATAGCTATACTGACCCAGAGCGAAAACCAAAATCCACAACAGAAGCAGTGTTTCTATAGTATCACGTTAGGAGTATGTAACTCACGTTATTTTAGTTCCTTCAAGGAATATTAAGTAACAAAGACTAAGAACAGTAGGAAATAATTAATGAGGCAACCTCTGAATTGTGCGCATTCACGCAATCTTTGAGTCCTTGGATGCCTTCTTGTTCTTTATATTATTATTACCTTTATATTATTATTTCCCCCAAAATAAGACCTATCCCAAAAATAAGAGCTTGATTTTGGGGGGTGAGCTTAATATAAGCCCTACCCCAAAAATAAGCTCTAGTTTTGGATCAAGGCGCCCGTCTAAAAATCAAGCTAGGGCCACCCATGGATCGATACTTGCCTCGCCGGCCCACTTCTTCTGTGGCTGAAGAAGCAGCTTCATTCTGCAGCTGAGAATGGAGCTTGAGCCTGTATTTCACAGCCAGAGGCCTTTCAAGAAGGCCTGTGCAGCCGAGAACCGAGCTATGGATTCAATCTGTAGCTCGGTTCTCGGCTGCACAGGCCTTCCTGAAAGGCCTCTGATGGTGAAATGCAGGCCGGAGCTCCATTCTTAGTTGCAGAATGAAGCTGCTCCTTCGGCCACAAAAGAAGTGAGCCGGCTGGGTGGGGCTGTCAGTGCTGCTGCCGTGAGGTAAGTGGAAAAGACACACACACCCCTGAAAATACGACTTGGTGCCTCTTTTGGAGGCAAAAAATAAAAAATAAGTCTGGATCTTATTTTGGAGGAAATACGGTATAGCCCACCTTGCCTCTTGTGCTCAAGGAAAGAAGAGTGTGACTACTATGGTATACATGGTACTCTCACTTCAATAAGAGTTGGCAAAATAAGCCCTCTGCTGGTAAAATCATACAAGTCTTCAGAGACTTGTAGTTGCACAAAATCTCTCTGTTGTCTCCATTGACAGGAGGCTATCATAGTAAGGCATTTGCCCTTTCTGCACCTGAAAACACATAGAAAAAAAAACCTTACCGGCGCAGAACATACAGTTCTGCTTAGTGGCCAAATGTGGTCACCTCCGCTTGTGTTACTCTAGGAAACAAGAATTGCAGTGGAGGGAAAATGTTATGGACATCAAACAATCCAGATCAATGAATGTTTGGGTCAGAATCAGATAGGTTTGAAGGCAAAAATGAGATCTCTTTTTCACTCCAGAGTCCCTCATTAACTTACAATTGTCAGCTGCTTCTTGCTTTCCTTGAGAGAGGCAGTATGAAGTGGTCCTCCTGCCAGTTCCATCAATGTGTATTTTCTTACTGGAAAAGTATGCAGAAGGCTGAGCCACTCCAGCAGACAGAAGTTATCCTACACTTTCCCAACTCATGGAAGCTTTGAAAGAGTCATGCCAATTCGTGTGTATTCTGTACTTTCCCCAGAATGGGAAGTATGCAACAGCTGAGGCAGGAAGCAACAACTTCTTGTTTCATCTTGCACAGAGCACCAGGAAGCACTCATCCATTGCCCCAATACCTGACCAATGAGGACATCTGTGAAATTAGATCTACCTCCAGGTCATGATCTTGTTACCTGTGTTTTCAATGGCCTTTGTAGCTTTAACTTAAGCAGCATGGTTCCCACTTATTCACATTATTTTTTTCAAATCATGCCTCCAAGGACCCCCACCAACAGCTTTTCTTACAAAATCTCAGAGTTAATAACTATGGAGCTATGAGGGAATACATTAACTAGACCCCCAACCTGTAGCACTACTATGAAACAATTGTTCTCTTTTTATTTTCTCTCATAAGAGTGCATTGTAGCCTTTGGATGTTTAACAATGTGGAATTCTCTCATTTTGGCACCTAGCATTGTGCTGATATATGAAATTTATCAGGGTAGCTTAGAAACGTAGCATGATATTGCTAGGCTGCCCTTGAGTCCTGAATTGCTGTTGCCTGCTTGTGAACAGTTTTTTTTTCCCTAGTGTATACAGTATGTGTTTGGTTTGTAAAATCATCTCATTTGAATTTGTGGATACTCTGAACTTCAGAACAATGTCACTTTCAGTGATACTGAAGTCAGAAATGGGGGATTAGTTCTAGTCCTCTCCACCTGACTAAGTGGCAAAATCTGAGCCTTGTCTCCTGGTGTCATCATTGAAGTAACAGGACCTCTCCCATTTCTACTCTGGGAATCTCTATTTTTTGCAAATTCTTGTTGTTAATAACGTTAGGAACCAGATATTTTTATACCTTTGTTGGGAATATTATCTTATGTTTGTATAACATTGTACCATACCACAGCTTATTTTTATTTTACTAACATGGTGGGAAAATTCCTGGTTCTTTCCAGAATAGCACTTCATTTGTTCCAGCACAGTCTCTAAGCAATCCTGCAATCATAATAGGAACTAAAGCCCATTAACTTCTGAACTAACTTCAGGATTTATAGGATCCCTTGACTTACCTTCTTAATAAACTATACAGGGTAGCATTATAGATTATTCTAGATATGAGCAAATGCTGACTTTCTGACATTGTAGAGAGTCTTCCTTTAAATTACTGAAGGTTATGGTGTTGTCAACTATTTTCTGCAAGATGGGAGAGATGGGTCATTCCCTCCAGTCCTCGAAGATAAAGAGCTCTTAACTGAAGAGCTTTACTCCTTTTCACATTAGTCATTACTAAAGACAGCCAGCCACAGTGAACAGTAAAGGTTTGCATTCAAAGTCAGAGTGCTGCTAATCCAAGCAACAATTCCTAAATTTTTCTGGGTTTTGGGAAAAAATGATCAAAAGGAATACCTTCTTATATGAACAGAAGAAGTGGAAACATCTTCAGTCCTCTGCATGATGTATAGGATCTGGGGAGTGGAGCTCATGTTTGCAGGTGTCCCAAAATAATGTTTCTTCATATTTTATTATAACATCAACATATTTCAGTTAAAGCTCTTCAATTAACACTGTATCTTCTTCACAAGTTTATTATTCTAAAGGCCTTTTGACCTTATTACTAACATCATTTGTTAATTATAGCTGAAAGACATTACACTATATTTCTAAATTAAGTTCATAAGTCTGAACAGGATCTCAATACTATATCATGGTTGAGCAATACTAGAATCAGCTTGGAAGAACTGAAGTCTACCCTGACTATCTCATGCATTTGATTTCTCTTATAGCACATGGACAGTAGTTCCTTGTGGTACAAACATTGGAAGGGAAGCTCCAAGATATATTTCATTCAGTGACGTGACAATAACATAAATGTTATATACCAGGGGTGTCAAACTGCCGGCCTGTGGGCGGACTGCCTCATACGGAGGCCGTGCCCACCCCAGCTCCGGCAATGCAAAACAAGTCGCGATACATTGCAACATGTCACGTGACGCGGCGAGTTTGACACCCGTGTTATATACACTAATACTTTGCCTTAGCTACTTGCTTCTTTTTTCTCTTTTTTAAAATAGTCTTTTGACTATTTGGATAGCTCTATTGAATGCTATTCCTTCAATTCCCATTAACAAAATAATCAAACTATATTTTATTCTTACAGTTAATTATCTCTTTTGACTTGGTAGACAATATAAATGTGGAGAGGAATGTGGAACAAAGATAATTCTCCCTACCACTCCCAAACTGTATGGATTTTATATGCCTAGATTCTATTTAGCCATGATTTTGAATGTGTGTAAGGGGCGTATGTGTGTCAGTTCCCTTAGTTCAAATTTCCCAAACCTATCCTCAGTCAACAAACATACTGTAATATCTTTCTCTTGCACATAAAATGATGTGGAAATAATTATTTGCCTTTGTAGTCTGTGCAAAATATTTGAAGATAACTAGATGGTATCAAAGACCACTTTGAATAAACAAGTAATTTAGGTAAATGATATTTCCTCCTTACAAACCACACGATAAATTGAAATGCTCGTATCTTAAAAATGTTACATTATAAGTACAAAGTATGTACTAATCTTAAATACACAATGCTTTTAGCTCTGTGTCAACATGGAAAATAATGAGGATCCAACATCTTCATTCTGAAGACTCTTATGAAAATTATCTCTTCTGTCAAAAGATTATATCTGCGTTCAGAGAAGAGTTTATGTCTAGTGGGTTTCTCTTTTATCATATTCTGGGTGCTGCTTCCATTCGTTTGTTAACTACAATTAATATCAAAAGGGAGATCTAGCTTCATATAATTGGCACACCACATTAAAACACTTAACCATCTGACTATATGTATCTCATTCACAGTTCCCTGTCGGCACTGAAATTGAAGGCATGAATATTCTGGGGCTTGTACTCTTTGCTCTGGTTTTGGGAGTAGCTTTGAAAAAACTTGGACCTGAAGGAGAAGAACTCATTCGCTTCTTTAATTCTTTCAATGAGGCAACCATGGTCTTAGTATCTTGGATTATGTGGTGAGTATTCATAATACTACTGCAGTCTGAAAAACTTCCCAGCGTTGTGCCAGTTTAAAATACAATTTACTATATACGCTACCTTCTCTTCAACTCTAAAGTCTGAATTAAAGGGTCTTCATAATCTGTAGTATCTAATTTGAGAGGGACAATTACCAGCTGACTGACTGTCTAGCAGAATCTAAGGTCAAATAAAAGGTGGTCTATATACAATAGGTTAAGGAGAAATGTTCTGCCTCTTTATTATGTACCTCCCTTTATCAGACATGGAGTATGAGCCACTAATTTGATACTTGGGAGGAGCAGTGTATTAAATACTATGTAATCAAATATCCGGTAGGCCTTTTTTTGTGGGGAAAGTCTATAACTTCTCTAGCTTATCTGAAACTAAATTCTTCATTGAAAAAGATGCTCAGAAACACAGTAGAGATCTCTGCTGGTTGCATTACATTTTTACAGGCAGCATAAATATTCAATTATTTAAAAACCCAGTTCATATATTCAATAGTTGGATTTCATTTGCACCCCCATTGGTTATGTGGCTATATTAACAATCTATTTCCATATCTTTTGGATTTTAATTGTGCAAGCCTAAACATGCTTATTCAACATTTTTACCGTATTCCAATAGCATTTGCTTCTTAACAAAGGCATTTAGAATTACTCATTTATTGTTTATGTAATGTGTACAACATTATTGTCATGGAATTTTAGGGAATTACCAGTTGTGCATCAAACTGTTGTTTCTAGGAAGGACATATACCCTGCTCTGCTGAATCAGCTAATTCTAACTTCCTTCTGCCAGTGTGACATGGAAAGTTGATATAGAAAAACGAGCTGCTTAAATCAATCAACCACACCCCCCCTCCCTTGATATATATATATTGACTCAGGAGGGTTATAGATAGGTTATTGACCGGTCAAGGCCTGGATTTCTCTCATGTCCCTTGTGCAACTGACCTAAATATTTAGCACACGGCAGATTTTTCTTCTCTGATTCAGCTCTGAAAAGGCCAGCTGATAGGTAGGACTTGCAGTTAATCATACAAAATCTCTGCAGAATGAAAGGGTCATGGAAGCTGAAATTGTGCAAGAAGGTACTGTTGGGACTCTGGCAAATTCATTCCTCTTCATATCATACCATTTTCAGAGAGACCTTCAGGTGTTGCTTTGTAAAAAGAAGTTTTCTGTTTTCCTGAGCAGGAAATGAAAGTGGTAGCCAGACTCTTAACTGAAATGTTTTTAGTCAGATCTTCTATGGCTATTGCCATATAGATACCCATTTTTTTAAAAAAAAAATTGGTTGGGCACTTTGGAAGATTTTTAATTAGCCACCTTTCTTTTACTTTTTATTCTAACCACTTAAGATTTGTGACATTGGCTTGGCATTGAGAGCATTTGCACAGTTTTTGAAATTGCTGAAAGCTGTTTAAGAGTCTGTGTTAATAAAAATGGAAGACTTTGGAAAACTGTGCAAGCAATGGCTTTCAATGCAATCAGCCATAGTATCTTACTGGTTGGCCTACAAGAATTTGAGACTGTAGGCTCTTTTTTGCAGTGATTCTGCTCCTTCAGTCAGTTGTGGGGTGTGCCAGATTGGCCCAATGGCATATGTGGAATGCCACAGAAGTGATTTTTTGGCATTTGGTGTGTGATATAATCAATATGTTGATGATATACCAACTTTACATTGTCACTTCTGGGGCATAGGAAGATGCTGTTGACATTGTATGTTGACATCCAAATGTCTGGAGACTGTAAGAATCTGGATGGGAGAGAACAGACCAAGCAGCTAAACAGCTGAACTAAAATGAGTTGCTGTTTGGACATTAGGGCTATCTGTCAGGTACCAGTGTTGTCTCTGAATGGCCAGATACATTATTTGGGTGCTCTTCTACACTCATTGCTTCTTGTAGAACAGCAACCATGCTTTTCATTGCCACTCAATTGGTTGTCATTCAAGCCACCATCACATCACTGCACAAATTCCTCAGACCAAGAACCAAAAGTCAGGCAATTGTGGTGCTTTTTTTGCCCCAGGAAACCTCCACAATATAGATGTTAAATTTCCATCTGTCACATGCTTCTGTCCTTCCATACTCAAAAGCAACTTCTGTCCACTCAGCAAAATTTATTTGGACCAAATTAATCTACTGTTTCTTCAGCTTACATATATTCAGCCCCAAAGCGATAAAACCGAGTCTTCTGATTTGATCATTTTGAACGCATTCACTTCTCTGCTCATCCTAACATATTACTTAAACCATTATTTATGAAAATAGCCCTCATTCACACCATCATCTTTTGAATATGAAATACATATTGTGTTCACTGCAGATTCTTTAATCAATCTAATTGGTTCTCTCAAGGATAGTAGCAAATGTGCAGATGAATGTCCCACAAAAGAAAAAGAGATAAAAATTCAATTTACTGAAGGAAATTTTATACGACAGTGTGATGCTTATTCTTTATTGAGGCCCATAGTGCGGGTTTCAGAAATCACTGACTTTTTCATTTTCATTTTGTCAAAAATTAGAACGTTATTTAGCATTCAGTGTAACATTCAGTGCTTCCTTTTCAGGTATGTACCACTCGGCATTACGTTTCTAGTTGGAAGCAAGATTGTGGAAATGGATAATATTATCCTGCTGGTGACAAGCCTTGGAAAATACATCTTTGCATCAATTCTTGGCCATATTATTCATGGAGGGATTATTTTACCGCTTATTTATTTTGCAGTTACACGCAAAAACCCTTTCACTTTTCTGTTAGGTCTTATAACTCCTTTCACCACAGCGTTTGCTACTTGTTCCAGGTTGGTAGATTTTTGCTTCTATTTCTGAAATGAGGACAACATTGTTTGAATTTAAAGCAGTGGTTCTCAACCTGTGGGTCGGGACCCCATTTGGGGTCGAATGACCATTCACGGGGGTCGCCAAACAACGCAGTCCGCCATTTTTTTCCCCCTTTTCCTTAGCTGTGCTACTCCCTTTTATTCTATTGGCTTTCAAAAGCCAACAGGAATTGTCCAGGCTGTCTCTGCCTTGCTGAGCCCGCCAAAAGTCCCATTCTGCAAACGGTGCTGCACCAGTTGAGTAGTCCTCGACTTACGACCGGTTGAGTAGTCCTCGACTTACGACCGGTTGGGGGTCGCAGCATTAAAAAGGTTGAGAACCACTGATTTAAAGTAATGTAACTCGATGGATTTTCTTGTAAAACAAGGGACTCTATGTTTACTAAAATGCGAAGCAGACTTTCAGAATGGGGTGTAGATAATCTATGTCTCTATATCAGTGCTTCTAAACGTTTGTGTGACGGCGACCCCCGTCACACAAACGCTCTGCGCATGCGTGGCGCCGCGCGCATGGGGGGCCCAATGCACGGTGCGCATGCGCGGCGCCCCATGTGCGCGCATGCGCCGCCCTGTGCGTGGCGTGCATGCGCACTGCCGCCCCCGTGCGTGGTGTGCGTGCATGGCGCCGCGAAAAATGGCGGATTGCCACCTTTGGCGACCCCCGAAAAATGGTCGATCGACCCCAAATGGGGTCGCGACCCATAGGTTGAGAACCGCTGCTCTATATGGTAAAATATGGCTCGATGGCAAAGGTTTTAATGACTATATTATTGTGTCTTATAGGGTGGGGGAGAGAGAATTTGAGAATATTAAGGTGGTGGACTGTAAAAATGTTTCTTTAAACCAGACATAATAGAACTTGAAATGGATATAATAATAAAAATGTAGAATAAAACTCCCTTTTTATTTTTTCTCATCAGATTCAGGCATTTGTTTTGGAAATGAATAAAGTAGAATCTTTTGTCCTAATTTTCAGGAACAGCACGTATCTGGAATGTTACATTATCTATTTAGGCTGACAGACAAATACTTACATTTTGGGCTGCAGGAACATTGCTGGACTTGATGTTCTTGTGCTTCTTCCTTGATCACATCTAGCTCTGCAACTCTTCCATCAATGATCAAATGCATTGAAGATAACAACAAAGTAGACAAAAGAATTAGTAGATTTATTCTGCCCATTGGAGCTACTGTGAATATGGATGGAGCTGCTATTTTCCAGTGTGTAGCTGCTGTTTTTATTGCTCAACTGAACAACGTTGACCTCAATATTGGACAGATCTTTACCATTCTGTAAGTGACAGTATCAGCTGCTCTGGTGCATCAGAAAAATCAGAGAAACAATTTGACTCTTTCTAGCCTGCCACATTGCATTTTGGTTGAAGCATTATTTACAAATCATGTCCTTCAGGGAAATGCCGAAAGGAGTTGCACTTTTCTCTTTTGAAGGAGATTATAGTTTATTGTGATGTAGAGAATAAGAGCCTAAAGGGATATTTGGCTTGACAGTGCTGTGGATTGCAATGCAAAACGAAGCAACGACTAGATATGTCATTAAGTCACTTCTGAATATGATGCATTTTAGTAATTTAGATCAGTTGCATGCCCAAATGGGAAACTTTATGCAACCACAATTGAACTGATTTGCATGATGTACAATGGCAAGTTGGAGTTACTTTGGAAAACAGCCTATCTCCAATGTGTGGCATCAGTAATATAGAATGAAAGAAAATTCCCTGAGTACAGAAGAATAAACTTCGCATGTGATTCTGTGTTATTTTAATGCATATATGAAGTTTCAGCATAGCCAAAAATAATTTTATTGACAGGGTTACTGCCACTGCTTCCAGTGTGGGAGCTGCTGGAATCCCAGCTGGAGGAGTTCTAACCATAGCTATTATCTTGGAGGCTATTGGACTTCCCACAAATGACATCTCTCTCATATTGGCTGTGGACTGGATTGTGTAAGTATACAAATGTGTGCACATTGGCTCTTGGATATGGTGGTTCTCAAAGTTTCAAGGATCTTAATAACCTTTTGTGGGGGCAACCTTTAAAAAGCGCTTTCACCAATAAGAAAGCAGTTGCAACATGCACAGCATAATTTGTTTATTGATGCGGAAGAGAGTAAGAAAGTCACTGCTCTACATTTTTAATTTGTATTTTTTTCCATTCCGATTATCACAAAAACTCTCTGAAGTTGAGAGGGGGCTAACCAGAGGAAATCAGCTATTAAAAACCATGTATCTCATGAAAAAAGAATTACTTCCTTTTTCTTGGAGAGAAAAGATTTTGCAGTGTTTTTTTTGGGGGGGGGGGGGTTAGGAGCACGAGGTGAAAGAGACACTGCATTTTAAGGCACAATCATTTACATTTCTAAGGAATGTTGTTATTCCTCATATATCAGGAAAAGGATGCACAGAATTATGGTAAACAAGAAGCAGAGCTTTGCTCCAAGCAGATTTTTGAAACATCAAAACTTCTCGAGGATGTGGTATTTGTTTAGGTTCTTTTTCCTCAAAAGAATGGTAAAAAATCTTGGTGGGGTATGTTTAAAATTGGACTTAGGGGCTAAAAAAGAGTTCCCTTTGGTCTAGTCCCCAATTTTACATTCACATTTTCCAGCCAAACATGAAACACCCACCTTGCTGGCCAGCAAAAATGACTGACTGATAAATACAGAATGATATTACATTCTCCTTTAGCAAACTGTTCAGGTTGAGCTTCTGATCGTAATTTTGCTTATGGAGAATAGGGCAGAGCTGTCTGCTTTTTAAAAAGCATCTTTGCTTGCTGTGCTTTTTGATGTCTTTAGATTTGAAGACAGACCACTGTTAATATAGAGGGTAACAAATGACACTTCTCAAACTTGTCGCTTTTAAAGATAGGCTGAGTCTCTGAAAATGTTTAAAGATGAACTTCATCAACACCAATGAAAACTTTTCCATATTTTCTGTATTGATCAGGGACCGGACCACAACAGTTGTGAACGTAGAAGGTGATGCCTTTGGAGCAGGTATTCTTGATTTTCTGAATCCAAAAGAAACGAAGGAGAAAGACACAGAACTTAGTGATGTCCATGTGGATGCCATTCCAAACACCAAGGCTGATGGGGAAACATCACCTCTGGTAACACACAAGGTTCAAGCTATCACCCCTCCATCACCTAGTTCTCAAGATCCATCATCTAATGAATCAGCCCTATGAATATAAAAGAGGGCACCTTATGGGCAATGTAATTTAGAAAGTACTTTTTGAATAGAGTCTGTATGGCCCCCGAGTTTAAGCAGGTATGTCCCCTTCCATTCCGATGGCACAGAACACAGTGGTAGCTAACCACAGAGTACAAAATATGTGTAAGCTTCTGTATGTGCGTGTGTGTATTTGAGAGAGAGAGAGAGAGAGACAAAAATGAAAACTTTTGTTGGTATAAAAAGTGCTGCTTCATCCTTATGTGTATGTGAGGAATATATGCAAGACAAATGTAGTGATTGAATGAAATAAAATTAATAGCCCACTTTAAAAGGTAGACTGTTAAATTTCAGAGATTTGGGGAATGTCTTGTTAACTGAAGTTATACAGGAAAAGAAGTTTCTTGTAATTTTACTGCATCAAGCCTGCATGATTGTGTTTGAAAGGTATTAAGGGATCAGTTTATTTTGATTTATAGCCATAGTTTGTCAGACCTAACCAAATTATTGCTCTTTGTTCTTGTCTGATAAATCAGAGAAGCAAACCCTTTTGAAGGAGAATAGAATTGAACTAATATGTTATCAGATATATATATAGCTAATGGCCACCTGTCCAGATTAGCCTAAAAAGGACCATTTTTATTGCTTTCTTCCTGAATTAAACAAAGCACCTGTATGTTGAACCTTACTGGACCAAAAAAGAAAGAGCAAGAAGTTGCCTTTCTCTTCAAAGGTTGGGTTATAACATCCATGATCATTTCTTATATAGGAAGCTTAAATTGTTTTTGAGACACTCTCAGCAATTTATATTAATGCTTTAATTGTTCCTGGGAAGAAATATGAATGAATGGCCAGGATGAATATGTACTACTACTGCTACAAAGCAGGCATTGATTTAAGTATCCTAGTTTGATGTCATGTCTACTGCTGGTGCTGCAAGAAAGTATCTTCTGGATCAACATATTGTATGGCTTATGGCTTTTAATGTTTTTGGCTTAGAACTGCCCAAATTGGGACACTCCATTGGCAATGGAAGGCTGACTAGAATTTTCAGACTGGTAGGCCCAGCACACCTAGTGAACATTATATCTAGAGTGATGCTTTAGTGCATCCATAACCGGACCTAAAAACAAGGCTGCATCTGATATGGTAATATGCTGCCTATTTCCCAAGATCAATAAGTACATGAAGTGTGTGTCTATCAATTTCTGAACAGATTAATTCCATGTTTATTTAGTAACTGGTGACATAATGACCAATAAAATTTATTCTCAATTCATAACAAATAAAATCATACTGAAAATATGGGTAGAAAACAAATGTAGAACATTCAGTTTTAAGCTTCAAAAAAATCTACATAAAAGTACATTTAAATTGGTGCTTAAATGTGTCCCGGTAATAATCATGAAGCTTCATTTATTGCTTTTTCCCTCACTCCACTATTGTTTTCAAGAGGATACGTGTTGACAAGTAATCAACACAATTCTGACCTTTAATTCTCCTTGCATAAGAAATACTATTCAGACATTTTTCTGGCTTTCAGAAATTCAATTCCATTATTTAAATTTGCTTGGAATCTTACTTGTCCTTGTCCCAGTATGAAGATCTTTTTCAAAAGGATATAATAAGTTATAATTCCCCCCCCCCTGCAAAATTAACCTTAAAATCCTGAGGCAGGAAACGACAACTTATGTGTTGCCTCCCAGGTGGGCCACAAATTCAGTTCCCAGAATTCTTAGCATGTTATGCCATTTGCTCTAATTAGCCATTTCCAACCTAGTGAACCCCAAATTGAGAATATATAATAAAGTAAGTGGGATTAATTTGAATTCAAAAGAAATGAAGGAGTCAGATTTTAATCATGAGTACCTTTGGTTGAAAGGTAAGGTATAGTTTTGACAAATATTTACCTTACCAGAAACAACTTTTATCCTTATAAATTATAAAAGAACTTTATGTAACTATGAAGGAAGCCTTTGGAATGGGTTACATGTTTAGCCCGCTCTACCCATTCTTATTTCATTCTTATGTGTGGGCACATAATAAACATTACTGTGTGGTATCTTTTTCTGTGTTAACAAGACAAACACATTGTGAAACATTCTCACCAATTGATGTAGCAAAGGGATCACATGCTGTCATAGGAATCACTATCCTTTTGGCAGGCCAGTCAGTTAAACCTGACCTGTTTGTGTTGCTGCCAGTCAGAACGTCAGGCCCTCTTGCAACAGAACCATAATCTAGATAATTCTATTACTTTTCAGTTAGATAATCATTAAGTCATAAGATTGCACCTATCTTTGTTCCAATTGCTGAGCAAACATTTTCAGAAAAAAGGCGTTCTCACAAAAGAGAAGCTTTGACCTGGCTGACTAGAGTGACTTTTAGTGATAGAAAAGCACTTAGATTTCTTTACAGCAGTGTTTTTCACATTTGGGAACTTTAAGAGGTGTGGACTCCAACTCCCAGAATTCCTCAGCCAGCTGGCTAGGGAGTTCTGGGACTTGAAGTCGATACTCCTTAAAGTTCCCAAATGTGAAAAACACTGCTTTAGAGGATTTGCTCATAGAGAAAGAAAATATTCCCCTTTATTCTGGCATCGTTTTGTGTCTTGTTTTGAAATTTGTGAGTTATATTCCATCTTGCCCACTTGCATAGGTGTGCAGGAAATAATCAGCATGTAGAATACTGATTTGCTTCCTAGAACACACTGAACAGAAGTAACAGTGTTTTTTTGCAGGATTTCAAAATCAGTAAAGTCAACTGTAGCTCTTGAACCTCCCAGCTTTTACTTTTATTGGATGACCCCAGGTTTTTAGTTTCTATGAGACAAGTGAAATTTCTCCTGGTTCCCTTGTTCCACAGTGGAATAGTTTTGTACTATACATTATTATTACTTTAATAATCAGGAATTTACCCCCCTAGGGCTTTGTGTGTATAAAACATGCTACACTATTGAGTTTTAATTCTTCCCTTATTGATTTCAGTGGCAAAGGATGCCAGCTATCTTGATTATTTAAGCTGCTCCTTCCTAATGTATCATGTCAGCACCATACATTGCAGTATACAAATTCCAGTTTTTCAGGTGTCCATTGCAGTGTGTTATATTTCACTTTTTTTCATTTTTTCTCATACCAATCAGATGAGTTTAAGCCATTAGAATGAAATTAATTTAATTTCATATCTAGTTTCATTAATTTCATGTCTAGATTAACTATTAAATAATGATGTCTCTATCAAGGGACTCGTGGGTTAATTTATGGATGGCCATACCACAATGAAAGGATGTAATTTTTTTCTTTATTCAGTAAGATGCTGAGCTGATCAATTTTTTGTTTTTTAAAAAGTGGCAGACTATCATCTGGAAAATAACAAATCCTGATAAGAAAGACATCCTACTGGGTTCATGAATCAGGAAAATGTGACAGAAAAAAACTTACATTAAACAATAGATTGGTAAAATAGTTTCCCCCTATTAGAATTCAAAATCAGTAATGTTTCACATAAAAAATAAAATTATAAAAGATACACCGCATTGCTTAGTAAATTGGGATGTTATAATTTAAATTCCTGAAGTTTAATTACAAAAGAAAATATCCCTTAATTCATGTAGAACAGAATTCAAACCAATGTTTTAAATTTTCTTTCTTATCCCTCTTGGTATTCTAAACAGGAGTTACAACGCCATAACCATACAGTCATAGAATTTCTTGAAAATACTTTGTCCTTCAAAACCATTGAGCCATGAAAGTAACAATGGAAAGTTGTTGTTTTAGAAATATTAAACCTCCTTGGAGTGCATTAGAGCAGTTAGTCTCTTATTTGGATTTTGACTATAATTTGCATATCATTTTGAACATTCTGTAAATGCAATCTATACATGGTGTGTCAGCTGAAAAACCACTGCTACTTTGATTTTGGTATGAGGTTGTAAGTATAAACTGCAGTAGAAGCATTTTACTATTTTACTAATCTTTAGGTCTGTTCAACTTAGAAAATCCATACTGATTAACAGAAAAGTAAATAAAAGACAGAATTATTAGAGTTAGGTATGAGTGTGTTTCCCAGTGGTGGTTTAGAAGAATTTTAGAAAAAAAATAATAATCCTTGGATATGTTTCCATAGTTGCAAAATGGATTATTTCATCACCCACACTTTTCTATTTTGATACACAAAATTATTGTTAGTAATCATAACAATTTTTTTTATATCATGAAATATCTAAATTGGGACAAATTCTAAATAACTAAATATTTGGTACAGGTTTATATTCTAAATTTGTTTTTTTGGGTTGGCTGAAAAAAAGATATTGCTCTAATTAGACTTTGTATTCAATCTTCATTATGTTTATTCTCATGCAGCCATTCCCAGAATTTACACTGAACCATCAGTGAGTGTTCCCTTGCTGACTACTGAGTATGCCCCCCCCCCGTTTAAAAAATCCAGCTGCTACTCCAATATTAGATTCCCATTGCCATCTTTGCCTTGTCCTGTAGTTGCTTGAGAACAAGGAGAGAAGAAAACTTTGGGTGGTGGGCCTAAGCTCCCTACTCCCTGGGTTCCATGGAAAATAAGTTGGTGATTTGAGATTTTGGAGAGCTTAGCTAAAAGGATACTGTCTGAATTGTCGAAAAAAAATGTCATGGTGAAAACAAAGAGGACAGTATTACTGTGGCAATGGTGCCAAAACTAGGTGCAGAAATGCTCTGATTACTCAATATAACATTAGGGGGGATTACCTCACCTAAAGAATCTTCAAACTGAATTTTTTTTTTTACAATGTTGAGAAGCTACTTTCTTATTTTTCTCACTGAGACAGCTGACTGTCAGCTTTTACTGAGATCTGAATAAAATTCTTATGACCAGTTTGAACGGTTATCACATTAAATTGGCTAATATACCGTATATGTCGGCGTATAAGGCGATTTCCGCAAGCGTTAAAATCGGCGCCAAAGACGGGGGTCGTCTTATACGCCGAGTTGTCTTATACGCCAGAAATACTGGTAGTTTCCGGCGTATAAGACAACGTTCTAGGAATGCGACTCGGCGCCAAAGACAGGGGTCGTCTTATACGCCGGGTCGCCTTGCACGCCGGCATATACGGTACTTCTAGCTTACCTTAATATTCAACACCAGCCCCTCCCCGATTAATGAAATTTAGAGTGACTAAGCGGTCTGTTTATGAGGAGAAATATGGTTCTATATTTACAGTAACAATGAGCTTTTCTGATTAGCTTTCATTAATATGTATCCTTAAACTGTCTTTTATGATCCTCTTTCAATTCATATTATACTACCCTACAGTGCCACTTGTGTCTTTCTGTACTGAAGTTTCTAATCAAAGTCAAGTAGAACGTGGACGTGCTTTGATGTAATGAAAATGAATGGCTGCATAATACAAAGGTGGAGACTGTGAACAATCTGGAATCTGTGTAAGATAAGGAAATCTACACTATGATTTTAGACATGAGCGATGACACCACCTGCCTTATTGTGTTGTACCTAAAGTGCTGCTTTAGCTGTGTTTTATGCACAGTGCTGTTCAATTCTTGTATTTCTTCTCAAGATCCTGCTTAGTTTAGCTCTTGGTCTGAATTCCTGAGAAAAACACATTGTCTGTTCTGATATATTTTACAGGAATATAAATGTTTTCAAACCTGAAATCATATATAAATCATTGCAGAACAGTGCTTTGTCAGAATTCTAGAATAATATATGTCAACAACAGATAACCACTCCATTTTCTAAGTATTGTTTTCTGCTGCTATGAATGTAATGTTCTCAATATGTATTTTGTTTGTGAGCATGCAGAATATTTCAAATTCAAATCATTTTGACTTTGGAGCATCCCATTTTGAATGTGAAAGATTCAGAATGTTTCAAATGCAAAATGAGATTCTTCAGTTGTTTCAGAAATATTGCGTTTCCAATTTCCAAATATTGTAAAATTTGTATTGAAAATAATAAAAAACAGTTCATTTCACTCTTGAGATGGGAATTTCGACTGGAAGTAGTTCAAATTTGAAACATTTTGCATGCTCTTAACTTTGTTCATGCATCTCTGTAAGGTCCTCATCACTATCAAGGATCAAATGTATATATGTATAAAAAAGTGAAAATAGATATGTGACTATAGAGTTGATACTGTTTTTCCACTTCTAAAAGACCCCAATTGTTCCTAGCTGTTTTGGTGGAAAGCAGTGCATTCAATGAGTCTTGTGTTTATTATTCAGTTTTTCTGAATCTGAAATAAAAACCCTTTAGACTGAATGAACGTTTGTCATTATTGGAAAAAGAATATGCATTTCATTATGTAACATTACAGGTAGTCCTTGATTTAGAATCACAATTGAACCCAAAATTTCCATTGGTAGGCTCCACGGTTTTTAAGTGAGTTTTGCACCATTTTATGATCTTTTTTGCCACAGTTATTAAGTGAATCACTGCAAATTGTTAAGTTAGTAACAAGGTTGCTAAGTGAATCTGGCTTCTCCATTAACTCTGCTTGTTAGAAGGTCACAAAAGGTGATCACATGATCCCAGAACACTGCAACCATCATAAATACATCCCAGTTTCCAAACTTCCTAATTTTGATCACATGACTATGGAGATACTGCGGTCATAAGTGTGAAAAACAAGTCACTTTTTCCATTGCCGTTATAACTTCAAACAGTCATTAAACTAATGGTTGTAAGCCAAGGATTGCCTGTATTCTTAGAACAAGATAGTATATTCTGACATTTTATAATTAGCTATGGTAATGGATATTTGCCTAGTCATTTCTGGGTGTTGCTAAGAGCCACTGTGAGGTGCAATACAATAACGCATCTCTTTACAGGATATTTCAGAAGGAGCAGAGTCAGCATTATAAGGGCAAAAACAGGCACAAGAAAAAGGTTAAATTCTCTTCATGTTAAGGCTTTCATCAGATTTATCTTTTCTATAGAAGGTGACTTGTAAGGAATACAGCTGCCTTAGTCAAGCCAGCTGTATGTAGGTAAATAGCAGATGAGCCTGTAACCTGTTTTTGGAACTGTAAGACAAGGGGCATTCTTCTTAATGATACCAAAAGTTGTATTTCCTGACACTTGCAAGCCACTTGGCAATCTGCTAATGTCAACTAGGAATTAAATACAACTAAATCTCACCCTGAAATTTTGTCATCTAAATGCAGCATGTGAAGGACTAGACACAATGAGGTTCTTCTTCCTTTTTTGTTCACCAAACAGTTTTGGTCACTAGTGAGTTCTGTAATCACAAGGAGATCCTTGCATGCAGTCTACACAATCTATGCAATATTCATACAATTGAATTGTGGTTAATATTCATATAACTCAGTTGATGCAGAACCTGGCTGTGTAAATTCATCTGTCATTGAGCAAAAACATTTTGGATATGAGATTTTATCACTATTGGGAGACAAAAAAAAGAACAAGAGCTGGGAATAAATAAATAAATAAATATATATATATATATATATATATATATATATATATATATATATTCCTAACATCATTGCAGGAAATACTGTTACATAATAATGAAGACATAAGCAAATAAAGGGGAACTTCCTTTTATTAAAGGGATAATTGAATATTTCCTGCAATAGCAGATAAAATACATTAACTGGGTTTTTATTATTATTTGTACACCACAATATACTGATTGTAGTGTTAAAACATTATTACTATAAGAGTATCTCTGTTATTGCTATCGTGAAAAACAGGAAAGAATCTTCAAAAAGCCCCCTTAAGATGTGTAATAATATATTTTCTTTAGCTATGTTTCTTGTAAAATAAGATAGCTTTCAGTATCAAAATGGGGAAATGTTTTTGAGGAAATAGAGTCTTTGAATGGAAGGCCTTAAAAGTTTCCAATATTAGGTGTCACTTTAACCATTTCCTAAACTGCAAAGTAGCATATTTTAGTTTGAAAAAAAGAAAATGGAAGCAAAAGAAGTTTATGCTTTTTTATACATTGGCTCCATTAGTCTGTAAATCAACTGGTAGGACACAGCTATCTTCAGGATACAGCTGATTATTAAATCTCAAGGCATGGACATCTGCTGGGGAAACAAGTGTTGAAATATGGGTTCCACTTAGCATATGCTTCTATGCAAAGTCATAACAAATATGAAAAGGTGGAAATTGAACCAGGACATGACATAGATTTTGTTTTGTTAACAAAATTTTGTCATAATTAGGAATTGATTCCTCTGCCTCAAGGAATTTATACCGGAATGCTTAAGTTTCTTACATTGGGAATCCATCTCAAAATAGAATTAGTTGATTTTTTTCTAATAGTAGGCACCCTTCCTCTACCATATAAGTCCCCCAAGGCACCAACTGCAATTGTCTCTAAACATGCTCCCTCCTCTGATACCTTGAAATCATAGAAGAGATGCAAGGAGATAATTTATTCTACTATGAATTAGCTTAGAAAAGTTGGAATAAGACAATAACAACTGCACATTTCCCTGAGCGGGAGTTTGCGTGCCTTGATTCCTGGTAACTGCCTGGATATGTCCCAGCAGTTGGCAAGATTTTGGAAGTAGTTTTGCCTTTAAAGTGTATGAAGAAGAACAGAAAAATTGCCTACACCCAGTATAGAATTCAACTGAACTCTGCATCTGAATGAATGGAATAGAATATTCAGAACCTGAAGCGGATTTAAAAGGAAAATCTATCTTCACTTCAAGGAAAGTGAAGATTTAAAAGGGAAGCTTCTACAACATGGTTAATGAAATCATACTTTGTTTTCTGGATCTGTGCAGCACACTCTAACTACTGCATTTTCCGGCATATAAGACGACTTTCTAAAGCGCGGAAATCGGCGCCGAAGTCGGGGGTCGTCTTATATGCCGGGTCACCTTATACGCCGGCAAATATGGTAAATGGGCTGGCATTACACAACACACAAAGGCTAAAATATAGTTTATTATACCTATGTATATAATTGTCTTTCTCAAAATTGTGACTAGTTTTGAACTAGTTAGTTGCTTTTTGAGCTTCACAGTCAATGTAAGAGAAAATTGTGGATTTGTGATCTTGAGGAAGAGGGTGAGAGTATGATGAAAGACTACAGGAGGTGGCTGTGAAATCCTTCACAATTTTAGAATTTAATTGTACTAGAGACAAATTCCAAGTATTGCCTCCATCTTTGAGGGAAGTGAGCTTATGAGCCTTTAGAGTCAATTTCTCTAGCTGAAGCTCAAAATTTAATTGTCACCTTTAACTGAAAACATTCCTTGCCAGTATAAATGTCTAGCATTGCTGTGCCTACTTATCTGGGAGCAAGTTCTAATAAGCCCAGCAGAACTTAAAACTAACTAAAAATGAATAGGGTTGTATTTTGTGGCTATAGAAAAAAGAGCTTGAATACCAAAATAACTCACATCACTGTTACAGGCGCTTGGGCTATTTCCTTGCTAGCGATTTATAGCATCTTACAGTATAATTTAATCACTGCTGTGCCAATGTAACAGTATGAAGTAAGGCTTTCTGGGACCACACAATAAAAGAATGATTCTATAAATGATGATTTAAGGAGAGAAGCAACCTAGAACTAAGGAGAAATTTCCTGACAGAACAATTAAACAATGGAACTACTTGCGTCAAGAAGTTACGGGTGCTCTAACACTGGAAGTTTTAAAGAAGAGATTGGACAATCATTTGTCTGAAATGGTATAGGGCAGGGGTAGGCAACCTTGGCTCTTTTATGACTCGTGGACTTCAACTCCCAGAATTCCTGAGCCAGCTGCTGGCTCAGGAATTCTGGGAGTTGAAGTCCACGAGTCATAAAAGAGCCAAGGTTGCCTACCCCTGATATAGGGTTTCCTGCCTGAGCAGGAGGTTGGACTAGAAGACCTTCAAGGTCCTTTCCAACTCTGTTATTCTGCTAAACCACTAATGAGGAAACAGCCACAGTTTATTATTACTGAACAACTTGGAGTACGTTTTCCATCTTGTGGCTGGACAGAGAAAGTACAATTCTACTACTGTCTTTCATGAGGGCAAATACAGAATATGCAAACTGAAAGTCCATGAACACAAAGCTGGCACCCATTTCCTAATCCCACTCTATAACAGTTTTTCTCTTCCAATGTTTTATTCTGTGTAGTCTTAGAACTGGATGGGGGAAAAATGGCAGCATGGCTAGCAAAGATTTAAGTGAGATCTTGGCAAATTAAGTACTAAATACCCCTCTTAACATTAAACAAGAGATGTATGTTTGTGAATCCATATCTGACAAAGTAATTTGTAATCTTATAATTTAGAATCAAACATTAATAGCAATAAAATCAGCAATTAGCACATGTGAAAGTTATGCTTACATTCCTGGCTTAACCATCATTTTTCATTCCCTAGAACTTTGGTGGCGAACCTATGGCACGTGTGCCACAGGTGGCACGCAGAGCCCTCTCTGTGGGCACACGCGCCATCACCCCAGTGCTAGGCCTTCAGCTGGGTTTTATAAAACCTTTTTGCTTTAGGCTTCCACCACCATGTGCAAAAAAAAAAAAAAAAAAAAGGTTCAATCAATTTCAACTTCTCGCTGGAAAAAAAAATCTCGCAAAGTTGGAATTGATTGATTGAACTTTTTAGTCCCACCCAGTCTGCCGTTACCACTGCAGCCATGCCCACCCAATGGGCCACGCCCACCTGGCACCCGATGATACATAAGTGGATTTTGGGTTGCAGTTTTGACACTCGGGTCTCTAAAAGGTTCGCCATCACGGCCCTAGAACCTCTAAACCACTTCAGAATGGCCTTTATATAAACTACTGATGACATGTAAGAAAAACTTACATGGACTCCTTACAGCAAATCAAAAGAGACAGTACAAAATTCAACATCAAGCATCCCTCTCAGTTCCTGTCCTACTTTTATCCTGTATTTTTCCACGGTGAATTGAAAGAGAAACCTGTGTTTCTGGCAAAGTGGACAGCAAAGCTACCCTCTGATTCTTGAAGTCTAGCATCAGGATGCTATGACACTATAATGACTCTTAAAAGATACACCACATGAAGAAAGCCAAGAAAGGGTGACTAGGAATTCCCACCAATGGGAAATAATTTGTCCTTAAGTGACAATTGTTTTGCTTCAAATTGTGTTTGCAGGGATTCCTATTGCGCTGAAGGACCAGATGCTACCACTCAGAGTGGAAGCATGCAGTTTTATCACTGTACAGCCAATCCAGGAATCACACAAATGCTATGTGCGAAGGGATAATACGTTTATAATGGTGTCTGAGAGAAAGCTCCAGGTGTTTGGATTATGTGGGCGGTACCTGATAAAGATATGAGTATTGGCTGCACCCAGGAGGGAATAGAAGATTGTAGGTACAGAGAAACAAAATGGTTGGTTCTCCAGTTTTAAAAATATAATATTTAGGTGCTATCTAGATCTGTCTTCATCCTAAAAACACTGGTTCATTGACAGGCAAAAAAAAAAAAAAAGAAATAACAGTGAAAATACACACTTTTTATATAAACACAACTTCGTATTTTCTTAAAACAGGTTTAATTAAAAAAATTGAAATGAGATGGATTGGAGTTTATACTTTCATACTGCAAACACATTAACAGCTGACTATACTAAACATGGCTAACTGTTCAGAAAAAGCAGGAATATTTGAAAATGAATGTTTGTAGTAATGCATTTTTCCAACTATTGTGCAGAATTTCCAAGTCCCTTTTGAAATTTGCAGTCAGATGGCAGTTTCTGGGAAACTAACAAAAATTAAAGTGCTATTTCTGGAAAATTTTCAGCAATAAACAAAAAAGATACACAGTAATGATGTTCTGATATTTTACAAGCTTATTAAATATTTCCTTGATAAACTCTCCCAAGGCCACCAACAGAGGAATTGTACTGTATCACTTATAACAAAACTGTACAGGGAAAAAAATCTGCAAGATGAGTTAATGAGTTGACTCCAAACACAGCAGCACAAAATGTAAAACATGCCAACTTGGAATTATGACCAAAGGGCAGCACAGATCTTTGCCTAGAAAGTACATTGTAAATATAGGGAGACTTGTGCAAAAGGCCTTATTCTTTTGGTAGCCACCACTGCTGGAACAAAGATCGCTGGATTAAAGAGTTGTGATGATCCTTGGTGCTCTCTGAGCTTGCTTATTTTCTTGCAGACGTTTTGTTACCCAAACTGGTAACATCATCAGTGCTAGAAAGGAGTGCTGTTTGCTATCAGTTTATGTTCTAGTGCAGTGGTGAACCTCTCTGTGGGCACATGCGCCATGCCCCAGAGATGGCAACCTTCCCTCTTCAACCAGCCGCCCGCTAACTCGCCGAGGTCCCATGTGGCTGGATGCATCCCAGCACGGCTGGTTTCCCTCCCCCCGTCACATCCCTCCTGGCCTTGCATGCTCTCCTTTTCCCACTGCATCACCTCCTCAACTGTCAGCAGACCGTCCAGCTCAGAGGTGGCTTCTCTGAACTGCTGGTGGTGGGCTGCGGAGCCCCAGAGTGCGCCAGTTGAGGGGCCAGCAGGGTGTGGCTGCTGATGGACACTGTTGGCCCCCACGCAGTCGCTCGCCTGTGTGCAGGGGGCGATAGTGTCCGACAGCAGCCTTCACGGTCCCTGACTCACCTTGCCCTGTGGCAATGGCACCCCTGCCCCGCCCTGCCTTACCTCGCCTCACCCCGCAGGACGAGCCTCCTGCCCACTGCCCCATCTTACAGAGATCCCCTAAATCTCCCACAATCCTGCCCGGCCCCCACAAATGTCCCTCCCCATGAGCAACATCGAGGTCACCATGCCCACTTTGGCCACACCTGCCCAGTCTGCCATGACCACCATAGCCATGCCCACCCAGTGGGCCACACCCACCTGGCACCTGGCGATGTGGGTTTTGGGTTGCAGTTTGGGCACTCGGTCTTTAAAAGGTTCGCCATCACTTCTCTATTTCCTTTTTCTGCTGTTCTTGGTTGCTGCAGTGTGTTTGAGTCCTTACACAGCTTCTCTTGTGGGAGGTTGGGTTGTTGCTTTGGTAGTGGAACACCTGGTTAGTATGGGTAGTTTTTCTGTAGACTTGCATTTCTACTTTGCTATTGTGGTGGCTGCTGATCAGGATGTTCAGGAAGGGTAGCAAGTTGTTTTCTTCTCCCTTAGTCAACTGGATTCTTTAAAACTGTTATTGATGGTTCTGTGAGTGATCCCTAATTGGTCCTTTTTTATTATGGTGAAGGTGTCATCTACATATGTGATCCATATTTTCCATTGTATTTGTAGAACTGCTATGGCTTCTAGATGTTGCATGACGACCTCCGTTATGAGTCCTTAAAGCAATGATCCCATAAGTGTCCCTTTAATTTGTTGGTAAATATGTCCATCAAATTGGAAGTATGTAGTGAAGCAAAGGTTTATGAGATCCATAATCCTGGGTGTTTCAATCTTTGTGTATTCAATTAAGTTAGCTGTGCTGTAAAGCAAAGCAGTCATGGATTCTTTGGCTAATCCTGGATCTATAGACGTGAACAGGCTGTGACATCAAATGAGACCATGATTTCTTCCTCCTTTATAGTCACAACATCGATTGTTTGAAGACACTCTAGTGGAGTGTTAATGGAGTGTTGGCTTCCTCTTGTGAGGTGCCCAATCTTTTTTGTTAATTCTTTTGCAATGCTGTTGGTGTAGCGATAGGATTGGACGAAGAGGTACGCCAGGTTTGTATATTTTGGGGCATCCATAGAAGCATGGGCGGATGGGTCTGCTATTTTTCATCCACCACTGTTCCTCTTTGATAATTTGGCCTTTCTTAGTAAAGTCACGGAGGGTTCTCTTGATCTGGTTGTCTAGTTTTTGTATTCTGTTAATGTTGATTGGGATGTAGGTTTCTTTGTCCCCCAGTATTTTTGTTTTTTGTAGGTATTGTGCTCTGCCCATAATAACTATGGTTTGGCTTTTGTTTGCAGATAGGATGGTAATAGGCTGGTCCTTTTTTAAGTTTCTGAGAGCTGTTTTGTCTTGTTTTAAGTTGATTCTGTTCTTGTTTTCTTCTCATCTGTGGAATGATGCTTTGTCTAATGCTTTCCTGGACTTCTGTGGAAGCATGTATATCCTCCCTCTCGCCGCGCCTCCTCCTCCTCCTTTTTCGTCAGCTAACGGGCTGCTCTTTCCCTTTCAGGCCGGGAAAGACCCCTCCCCCTGAGAAATCGCCCAGACCAAAATCCCGACGCAGCGAGTCCACAGCTAGCAATCAGACCTACAACAACCCACCCCGTCTAACCAAGGGAGCCGATTTTGGATTGGCCGAGACTGCGGTTCCCGGCTGGTTCTCAGCGTATCCAATTTCAGCGCCGAAGGAGCCGATTGGAAAAGGAAGCCGTCCCGTGGAGGATGGGAGTGCGCGTGCGCACAAGCCTGCACGGGCGAAGAAGCTTTTTTTTTTTTTAATTGTTGCACTTGAGGGGGTTTGACCGTCGGCGGAAGCTTTCCGAGGCGGAGGAGTTCGAAGGGACCTACGGTTGCAGGCTCTCCTTGGTCTCCCAGGTAAAGACGGTGCTTTTTCTCTTTCTGAGCTTTCCGAGTCGGGGCCAAGCAGTTTTTCTGGGCCTGAAATTGCTGCTGTAGTGACTGCGTGAAATGGTGCCTCTTATCTTGCGAGAACAGAATCGGGCCCAGAGCCCCCGAGTATGGATCGTCTGTATGCTGGGGGGAAGCGGTGACGGGCTTTCCTTTTTCGAGCGGGAAACGGCAGCAGATCTGCAAGTTGATAGCAACTGGAGAGCGCCTTTGTTCTGTAGCCCTACCTTCTTGCTTCGCTTGGGCATCTCAGACTTGTTGCAAGTGGTGGCAGCAAGTTTCGCTCGATGGGCAAAACATGGAAAGGGAGCACGGGGGCTTCTAGTTTTCCGCCTGGCTTACATCATTTTGCTTTGATAAAGCCTATTGCATGCATGTATGGCTCACTCCCACGTATTCCGTTCTTCTTTATCGGCCGAGTCTGTCTTAGTTTTGTAAGTGCGAGGGTTTTTCTGATGGCTTCAGATCGTGCAGTTTGACCACCTGTGTGGAGCTTAATATCTTCACCCGGACAGAATTCCTCCGACGGCAGTCAAAAGTGTCCAGAAATTCCGGGAACGCTATGAATCCAAGGGCTTGGTTAGCTGTGTGGGAGAGATTGGCAGCTCGATTCTGTTAGTTAAAAAAAAAACACAGAAGAGGCATTGTAAAGCAAAAGGTTGGTTTTCTTCTCCCCCACGCAACCCATCCCATGTTGGTCTTTGATTTGTGTAGCAAGTCTTGAAATAAATAAATAAATATCTGGCGGCTCTGTTCATCCTGCTAGAGAATTATAGAAAAATTATAGAGAACGAAAAATTATAGAAAAACGAAATCCAACACTTTATGAAGCTGATATTTTATGAAGACCAGAAGAGGAAGAAATGAAGTTTGGCAAAACTGTTCATTTGGAGTGAAACTGGAAAATGTGATTTGCTTATATAGAGTTAGGCTATTCTTAATTGGAGTGTGGAAGAAGTCTATAGACATTCAAAGTGTACCCCTTCTAAACCTGGCTGAGAAGAATTGACAAAGGAACAAAAACTGATCTTAAGGTTTTTCAAGCCATGTAAAATGGAGCTGTTGGTTTAAACTGTTTACATGTTAGTAAGCTATTCCATCTTTGGGTAGGTGGAAAATTGGTTAACCAAGAAAAGTGGAAATACAGGTAGTCCTCGACTTACAACAGTTCATTTAATGACCATTCAAAGTTACAATGGCCTTGAAAAAAGTGACTTATGACCATTTTTCACGCTTATGACCATTGCAGCACCCCCATGGTCACATGATCAAAATTCAGATGCTTGGCAACTGATTCATACTTATGACGGTTGCAGTATCCTGTGATCATATGGTCATCTACTGTAACCCTCTGACAAGTAAAGTCAATGGAGGAACAAGATTCACTTAGCTGCAGTGATTCACTTAATTGTATCAAGAAAAGTTGTAAAATGGGGCAAAACTCACTTAACAAATATCTTACTTAGCAACATAAATTTTGGGCTCAATTATGGTTGTAAGTCAAGGACTTATTTTCCATCCCTAAATTGAATCAGAATTAACTAGTGCTGAAAGAATCCATACTGTGAAAACCATACTCTTACCTTGGATGCTTCTTTTCCCCATCAAACTTTATTGTAGAATTGCTAATGTTGGTAACTCCTATAGAAAAATCAAATAGATACCGGTATATGGGTGATCTCAAAAACATTGAGTGGGATTGAGCCTGTTCTACAATGGAATATGTTGGAATATTCATGAGCAGGAAGAGTCATGTGGTACTCAGTCAGTCAATGTGAAGAAAGAGCTACTGAGTCTGCAAAAAGTATTGAGTTAGGAGCTGAATTTTCAGTCTCTGGTTTTGTCTCTAGTCTGTCTCTGTAAGAAGTCTTCATTAAGCTATGTTGCTATAAAGAAGAATGGTATTGTAAATATTTTTATATAAAGAAGTTATTTTGAATCAGCTAAATGCAGTCAACTGTGAGAGCTTCTGATTTATTTTTTCACCAACAGAGAAATTAAAATTCTCTAACAGAATAGCAGGACTGTAGATAAAACAGAAAATTAGCTTTCTCAGTGGTATTTTTTCAATAGCAAGATTCTTCTTTTTGCCATGAAAACCTATATAGAGTGCCCATATAATCAAAAGAAATAAAGAAAAATACTTGATAAGAGAGTCTTTATGTAGGGATATCCCATTTGCAATTCTACAGTATTGTAACTAGCCACTGCTAAAATGATATACATCCACTTTTTAGAAGCACTTTCTATGTTTTTGACAAGGTATTTGTTTTTTTTCTTTGTTTTGTGATGTTTTATTACTTTAAAAAGCAATAAAAGAATACGTTTTTAAAAATGTAGGAACATCCATTTATATAATACTCATTAATAACTGGCACTGATATTGCAATCACTTTGGCACTCAGTGGCAAACAAAATAGAGCTAACGGATAATTTTTAAATATGTAATTTCCAAATGGAAATCATTTCGATCATTGAGATATCTGTTTGTATACTTGTGCTGTCCCTTAATGCTGAATAGCAACTAAGAGTTTCTTAAAAAAAATTATACCCTAGAATTCTTCAGAGGCTCATTGCAGGAATCTCTAAAGCTGTTTTTTTTCCTTTAAAGGAAAACCTTGTATATCAAAACATTTAAATCTGAAATAACAGTTATATACTAGTGTCTAGGTAGTCCTCAACCTGTGACCATAAAAGTTGTTAAGTGAGTGAAATCTATTTTACAACCTTTTTTTATCACATTAAGCAGATCATTGCAATTGTTAAGTGAATCATGCAGTTAAGTGAATCCAGCTTCCTTGGTTGACTTTGCTTGTCAGAAGTTGGCTGGGAAGATTGCAAATGGTAATCATGTGGCCACAGGGCGTTGCAAACATTGTAAATACATGCCATTTGCCAAGTGCCCAGATTTTGATGCAATGATCATGGGGATGCTACAACGCTGGTAAGTCAGTTTTTTCAGTGAGCAAAATTCACACTTCAGCAGTGTGAAGCTGTTTCTGATCCACATTCTACTGGGTTTTTTTTTCCAGGTTCAGTTTACATGAACAAAACTACAGTTGTTGATTTGTGAATCCAGGATTGAAATGGCAATTTGTAATGGTGGGTTGATACAGAATGAATGGATAAATGAGTTTTGTACAGGTTCCTACAGCAGTTTAAACTTGTAATCTTCATGAAAATTTGTAAAGTGCTATGTAGATGAAAATATGTTTATGAAGTTTTTTTTTCCTTTAGCATTTTAGGTTGTGGCCTTGGCTCTGATTGTATAATGTGATGGATAATGAACTTATTTAATCAAGAGAAGCCTGTTGTAGTTTTAAGAATATAGGGGAAAAATACACAGTGCTTATTACTAATAATTATTAATATCCTGTGTTCCTATGGGAATCTCAAAGTTTTTGTGGAATGATTATAAAAATTAATAATTCTTCCTAATCTTAATTCCTATCCTTGTACTATCTTGAGCTCCCAATGATGATGGAATAGCAGATGCTCAAATAATAAATATTTGGAAAAGGACATTGAATATGATCTTGTTTCATGCTTGTGATAAAGGTCCGTAAATGCTTACTTTGCTTTTTTTGCACTTTTAGATGATTGCCACAGTTCGGAGCTGCAACTTTCTGATTCCTTTTGGGAACACCATCTCTTTAAGCTGATTTATCGTGCAAGCAGTGCAAAATACTTGAAGCATTTATTTGCTTTTATCTTTTGTAATATTAGGATTGCAGTGTGCTGTATGTTTCTGAAAAGCCACTTGGAGATTGTATTATCTTCACAATTATATTATTACATCATATAGTCAGTGCTGTCATGGAGGGGAAAGGGAGCATTCTTACCACCTTTGCCCTTGGCATGGGGGGGGGGGAAGGGAGAGCAAGAAAGAATTGTCATCCCAGACTAGCCAAGCAGTTCTTCCAGGCCTTGATGCATCCTCTGTCATTTTCAGTGCCTGCCAGCACAGAGTATCAAAATAGCAAATGGGCCTTCCTGTTAACATATTTTGTCTCCTTGCAAAATCTCTAATGGAGGGTCAAAAATCATCTTGCCCTGTGATGTTTCGATTCTCAGTGCTGACTTGCTTCCAGTTATCTTGTTTATTGTCTTGAGTTAACTCGACATGGAATCTATCATGAGACTTTGGTGTCATAGCTGTGGACTTGAGATACAATAGAACAAAAGTAAAATGGTGGCCTTCATCAGATGCTTTTCCTGGTGGCTTTGGTCCTTAAAGGTCACTACTGAAAAAAATCCCAAGAACGCTTATCATATCATATAAATGCAGTGTCTAGATTCTGGCTTTTCATGTATAAGGACAGATCTAAAATATTCTGTATGTTATGACTATCACTGTGAGCAGCTAAAGCTGATAATAAGAGGACTGGCCTGTTGAGCCAGTTCAAAGGATCACGTCATCTATCATACGGTAGTTTCCCATAGCGGTTAGGTAGAAACTCTCGGCAAATCTCTCTCTCTCTCTCTCTCTCTCTATATATATATATATATATTGCCTTATTTTGAAATTTAAATAGAGCCACTGTGGCCGTCTTTTCCTCCACAAATCTGTGAATCTCTTTTTAAAACTGTTTTAACTGTGCTGATGCAGAGCAAAAGCTGAGTTGAATGCCTAGAGAACTTTCACTTCAATTCAATGCTTTGCATTAGTAGGAGGAAGAAGTAGAGGGCAAAGAGTCTCGGATCTGGAAGGCTTCCTTCCACCAGCTGTACTACAGGAGGGTCCTTCTTTTGAAGCAAGCCAGCACTGCCAGGTGGCTTTCCCCAGAGAGCTCTTTTGCCAACTTTTTCCAAGTGTGAATTGAATTTTTCACGGAATGCTAATCTCCTGAGCTGTTTGTTGCCATTGATCTTGTTCGCAGGATTAGGCGAATGCATAAAGAGGGGGTTGTTGTTCAGAAAGACTCATTGTTACTATCAGGGAAGACAAAACTTTGCCTTGAGGTGAATAATAATTGTACTTGCTGAGTGGTTCTTTGTAGGAGTTGGTGAAGTCCTGGGGGATTAAATGGATCCATGTAGCCCGCAGCAGCTTTATACAGGGTCTGAGCATTCTGATGCCTCCCAAGACCCAGCATGGCTAATGGCAAAGGCTTGTGGGAGATTTAGTTCAGATGTCTGCCTAGTCCTACAGGAAGCAGAGGTGTCTTTGAGGGCTGGGTAGCTTTATAAGCAGGGCTGGCATGAGATCAGATTGGTTGCCAGCCCACTTAGATGTGTTATGTGGTAGGGAGGCAGATCATCGTTGCGGTAAGCAACAATAGTCACAGCATATTTGAGGAGAAACTTTGTGGGCATTAATACTGCAGCTTTGATTGTACACAGGTAAGACATGAAGATAGCTTGGAACGAAACATAAATGCTCATGTTAACAGAGACTGTACATGAGGAATTATCCTGTATTTTATACTTTCTGATAGATTTGCTTTTTCAGAGGGCGCACATAAAATGATACATTGGAAGATGTTTACCTAAGATGAAATCCAGGCCTTTTGTTTCCAATATCTTGCTGTGATCATACTGGTGACAAGTGTACTGTTCCTTGATGAGTGGGGACCCCACACAGCAGTTTTCCTAGAAATGAGTCCATGACTGAGCAGTATCTTGTTCATCCTTAGTCTCAGTTGTTTATTTCTTAAAAAATAAAATTTAAGATAAAACTACAGCCTGCGGAAGTGAATAATTTAATTTGAACCAGAAAATGTGCTTGACAGTTTTTGGCAAGTGTCAATTCCTTTGTTTCTTTTTGAATATCTGTAATTGTTGCCTCTCCTTTTCTGCCTCCTTCCTTTCCCTTTGGCTGCTGGTTTTGACAGAGATTCCTGTTTGAAAGAACATGGAAGCAAGTGTTTCCTGTCTGATGACAATGTTACAGGAGATGGCAGACAGGAAGGGCAAAGTTGAAGATGTTCCTAAGAGGAAGCAGGAAAGAAATTTGAAGGCTGTTGGTGTGGTTTTGGAACTGGTGTGGTGATAATATGGATATTAGCTCTGAGAACACATTAGTCAGTTTGAAACGGGTAGCATAATTTTTTTAGGAATTACTTATTAGCTTTTATACTCAACCAGGCATTATATTTAGACTATGTACAGGTAGTCCTTGACTTACAACATTCAGTTCATTTATGACCGTTTAAAGTTACAACGGCACTGAAAAAAGTGACTTAGGATCGTTTTTTACACTTACAATTGTTGCAGCATCCCCATGGTCAGGTGATTAAAATTCGGCCATTTGGCAACTGACTTATATTTATGACAGTTGCAGTGTCCCAGGATTATTTGATCAGCTTTTGCCACCTTCTGACAAGCAAATTCATGAGGAAGCCAGATTCATTTAACAACTCTGTTACTAACTTAACAACTGCAGTGATTCATTTAACAACTCTGGCAAGAAAGGTCATAAAATGGGGCAAAATTCACTTAACTATCTCAGCAACAGAAATTTGGGCTCACTTGCAGTCATAAGTCCAGGACCACCTGTATTTAGAATAGTTATGTGTACAATGTAACTTTCACATATACTGGATTCAGCAGATGCCTTATAAAATCCTCATGTGAATAACACAAAGTTCATTTGATTTGTTCTCTGTTTCTAAGGGACGTATGTGCTAAGCCATGCCTCTATAGTATTAGGTTAAAAATTGGTGAAAACAATTCTATTATAATCAGTGTGTCCCCCCCAACAGCATCCTTTTCCTCTCTCTCTGCTAGCTTGTCTATCTAGAACAGTGGTTCTCAACCTTTCTAATGCCACGACCCCATAATACAGTTCCCCATGTTGTGGTGACCCCCAACCACTTATATATCACCGGGTGCCAGGGGCGTGGCCAAAGAAAAGGGGGGGAAAATGGCAGACAGCCTTGTTTGGCGACCCGTGAAATGGTCGTTCGACCCCAAATGGGGTCCCGACCCACAGGTTGAGAACCACTGATCTAGAACTTCGTCCCAAGTGAACATGCATCCAGTTTAAAATCTACAGTGAAATCAGCTGAACTTTCACATGACGTTCAGTCCCACTGAAGCCAGCTCTTAGGAGAGGGCATAACAATGCAAGCTTAGTGCTTAGAAAATAGTTATCTTGGGTTTTATGTCATTGTTTCAGATTTGGGATTGAAGTACTGAAATTAAACAAGGTAAACAGTGGTAAAAAAAGTCTCCTTTAGATACTGTGTGAGGGTCAGGTTTGATAGGTAAAGTCATGCAGGACTAGACTTGTGTTGCCTTGAGTTAATTAGGAAGAGTTATTAGCTCTTGGATGCGGAAGATGAAGAGCTGGCCCTTAAAGTAATCCTCGATTTACATGTGACAGTGACCAATTTTATGACCTTTTTTGCAGTGGCCTTTAACAAATCAATCCATTTGATCCAAGCAGCATTTTTTGCCAGAAACTTGAAGTAAATGCCAAAAATTATAGTCAGGTGACAGTGGGATGCTGGTAAATGTAAGCCAATTGCCAAGAGCCCAAAGTGCAATGTCTGTGGGGTGGGATCTCGCCGGAACTCCAAAACCTGGTCATAAGTACCTATTTGTGTTTGGGGGGGAGGTCTGTCATAACTTCGAACAGTTGCTAAGGAAGGACTATTTGTAAAAGAATGGAGAACAAAAGCTCCATACCTATAAGAGGAAACTGCACTGTTTCTGGTGTTTGTGTAAGAAATCAAAAACATAATTATTTTTGGTGCTTTTTAACAGATTGTACAAAAAAGAAAAACCCTCAAAGTACCTGGAAAGAAAGTCACTAATTTACAAAATCCTTCATGGCAATGACATGCGGCATTTTAGCAGAAGTGATTTGTATTCTGAAAAGCATCAGGTAAGAGTACTTTTTATCTTAATTATGCTAATCACCTTACTGCAAAAGAATATGGATTTTTAAAAAAAACAAATTAAATATTGCTATTGGTGTATTATATATAGAGATTCATAAAAGGGATGTGTACCCTTTAGACACTTAGCAGGATCAGCATTTCTTTGATGTATCTTGGGTGTTTCACATAAAAAAATACATTCTTGGCATGTTGTTCATTCGTTGATCAGATTTCTGTGGCCCTCTAACTTGTATACTTCTGCAAGTAAAGGTGTGGAAATACATTTGTTTCCTCTTTTAAGCAAGGGCATAGTTAGTGTATCTTTCATTTTATTCTGCACCTAGGTCAGGGGTTGGCAACCTTGGCTCTTTTATGACTCATGGACTTCAACTCCCCTGGCTCAGGAATTCTGGGAGTTGAAGTCTATGAGTCATAAAAGAGCCAAGGTTGGCTACCCCTGACCTAGGTGAACAATGGTGCCCATGGATTGTATTTCTCATTCTGCATTGGCACAACTATTTGATGTTGCAGTACTAGTGTTATGAATATCTTAAGAGGAGTGTTGGTTTCTACCATAAATACAACTGTTGGAGACTTTGATCATTAATGTTCTGTTACTTATGTAGTCTCTAGTGGCAAAAAGGAGAATGCTAGAAAGATAAAAGTCATGTGAAATATTGTCAAACACTAAACTCCCTGATAAAATACCTGGAGTAAATAGATGGAACAATACTTATGCCCATGTATATTTTATATCTCCTCCCTGTGAAAAATTAAAACTTTGATTAGATGATACTATGCAGGATGATAGCTTAATTAATATAAAGCAGGTTGCCTCTACTTCCCTCCTGCTGCCCTTCAGCTAGATTCTCCATTTATTTTTTTCCCTTTGGTTTTCTGTTTCATGCAGACTTATAACAACCCTAATTTTGGGGTTGTTTTTATACCAGTACATATTTAAATAGAAGTACAGTTTTCTGTTTTAATAAGAGAGATTAGTCTTCTCCAGAGCTCTTGATTACAAAACTATTGTAGGTCTGTTCTTCCCCAAAGAAAATGTGAATAGTTTTTCACAGCTATGGCTCTGTCTGTACATCATGCTAAGATGTAAGACATCTTGGAGACAGCTATGCTGTTCCAAAATGTATTGAATGGCTCTGACTGAGACAGAATGGATACCAAGCTTAGTATGATGTGAAAGTGTGGGACTTGGGCTTCATTTTCCTGGAAAATACCAGAGAATAAAGCCATTAGCTAAGTAAAGTGCATCATGCTTTGTCCTTTAATATAATTTGTCCCTTGTTGGGTGGTTCCTGCAGCTGGTTTGTCAAACAGGAATTGAGTGGGTATTTTTGCATATTCTTAGCTTTCTGCCATACATGATATGGTGCTATGTTTAAATCATATGATAGGATAAAATAATACACATTTTATATGACATCTAATGTATCTTATGAATCTCTGGAATTTGGGTGGCATATACATATAATTAAAAAAAATCCATCTACTGATGGATATAGCAGTCATAGCTCACGGCTTAAATCCATGTAAATACCGACGTAATTCTTGTGAGTTAAGCTAAAGATAGTTAGCTACTCTGAATTAAATGTCCTGGAATATGACATTTCTTTTTTGTTTTCTCCTTTATGAAACAAACTGTTCAGAGAAATACAGTGAAGAGCTCTGATGGAACTAAGCCATTTCATGGTATGCTGGAATTTCCAGGAGTTCTCCCAACAAAAGTTCCAGGTGCTACTTTTTTTAGTTCTGCTGCCAAATGCATTAGCAATCCTGATACTGACTGTAGGAGACAAGCACTAGCTATCCCTTATTCATCCACTCCAAGGCATTTATCAGGTAAAAGAAGCCCACATTTCAGTGCCAAAATGTCTGTATTGCCTAGAAGTTTCAGTTCCTTACAACCTCTGGAGGACACTGGTTTTGAACCGCAGGAACTGAAAAGATCAAGAAGTGTTTCAGCTACTGGGGCCTGTCCATCATACGAAATGCCTGTTCCTTGGCATCAGAACAATCTGACTGACTATGAAGAAAGTCCCAAACTTGGCATGCAGAAACTAACACCCATAAGAAACTGCTCTATAGCGGGGCAAATGAGAAGAATGTCCTCCTTCCAGGCTGATTACTGGGCATGTGCAATACCTGATTCTCTACCACCATCACCAGACCGTCAGTCCCCACTTTGGAATCCCAATAAGGAATATGAGGACTTGCTTGATTATACTTACCCTTTACGGCCCAAGTACAAGCTTGCCAAAAATCTCAAAGATTCCACTGTCCATGATTCTGGAATTGATCTTGATAGCCTCTCCATTTCCCCTGAGAGTACCTTGAAGTCTATGAGTATGTGGGACCAAGAACACCAAACCAGGGAGAGCCCTACTGCACAGAGACTTTCAAGTCCTTTCCTGAAAAAGCTGGAATGCTCAGTTCCAGTTTCTCACTACAGAATATCACCCATTGGGAAAATGTCCCTGGCAGATGGCGAAGTTGGCATTTCTGGAGGGATGTCACCTAATTTATCTCCTAGATGCCTTGAGCCACCCAATTCCCCATTTGTAATTGAGCAAGGATGCCACAAAAATAGACATGAGTGTCTTTTGAGGAGAAAAGCTGCTAGTGGAAACTTCTTGCGCTCTACAAGTGTATTGCCCTTACAGAAAGAATGTGCCAGTGATGATGAATATCTCTCCTTACCACCAAGACTCAAGGAGATAGAGACGTTGGCACAGCAGCTAACTGATCTTACACTGACTATAAAGAAACCTGAACACAGCCGGGAACAAGATGACTTCGCCTGCATCAGTGTGAATAGGCAGCAGCTTCTACCAGAGGTTCAAGGAGACAGTGATGGCAATGAGAGCCAGTGGGAATTGTATTCCGACTCTTTCCATACGTGCAGTTTCCAAGAACCTGATGAAATAGACATTCTAAGGGATCAAACCAGCAAGGACCATGAAAGTGAGCCAAGGGAAACTGCTGGCGCTGATTTTCTTGAAATGAGATGCCCAGAGTTCCTTTCTATCAAGGAAGAAAAGAAGGACCATTACTCTCTTGCACAGTGTATTAAGGTAATTTTTTAAAAATCTAAATCTGAACATCATCTCATCGTGTTAAAATTGAACATATTATGTATACTTTAAAGTTTTCATTGGGGTTCATTGTCTTTGTGGAAGCTCAGATCATACTGTAAATCATCAAACTGCACGAATATAGGTAGTTCAGAAGAATTAACAAACTTTTCACACTACTATAGATTATTTCACCTTGACTTCTGGGCAACATTTCTTTTCTTCCTTTGAGTTTGATGTATTCTTTCGTACAAGTATTAAGACCCTGTGTTATGGCTGATTTACATTCTGTTTAAATGGAAACATTTCACTATTGAGTGTTGTGGTACTTTCTGAATCCCCAGAGATTCCAGCAAGAAAGTCAACTACTTATTAAATCCTGTGCTATTCTGTCCAGATCCTGTTCTTTTAATTTGAGGACTTTGTCCATTGATGGACTATAGAGATTTCTATATCCTTAGCTTATCACAAATTAATATGACAATATAATAAACAGCTGTGTAGGGAGTCATGAAAGGCTTTTTTTGAAGCGTACTATCTGCCTACAGTAGTTGTACTGTATATGTATATCTACTGTAATTTGGGGCAGGATCACAGAACATTGTTGATAAATGTGCAGAGTCCCAAGAAAACTCTTGAAGTAGCTGCACTGAATTTCCAACCCCCAAGCACTTCAAAGAAGTACTTTGCTTGCACCAATACCTTTTACAGAATATTGCTTTGAATGAGTTGCCCAGTCCTGGTGAGACATGACTCTCTTGGTTCCCTGCCATGAAGAATCTTATGGTTCTCTAGAACAGGGGTCCCCAACCCCAGGTCCATGGACCGGCACTGGGCCGTGGTATACCAGCAACAGCCGCACAAACAAGTGAAGCCCCATCCACTGGATGCAGGTAGCACACGAAACCATGCCCCCTCTGGTCCATGGAAAAATCTTTCTCCACAGAACCAGACCCTGGTGCCCAAAAGGTTGGGGGCCTCTGCTCTAGAAAGCTCTCATCACTGACCATTTTCACTTTCTACCATTTGATCCTCATTTCTGAATTTTGAACGTATGAAGGGCAGCCAACTTCAATGCTTTCAGCTGCAATTAGGAATCCGCTGAAGTTTCCCCATAATTTCCCATGTGGTTTTTCAGTAAGAAAAGTTCTTCACAGAAATCTAAAATAGTCCCATTTTGTGTTTTTCTTTTTAATTTCAGAGAGGTTTGGATTTTACTGTTTTGAAGTATCTAAATAAGTATTTTGTAGAATGAAGCTAGCACTCTGAAGTCTTGCAAGATATTGTGATATCCTTGGCAAATATTCCTGTTTCCTTGCGATGGATACATACAATAATCTGTGGCAATCGTGCAGCTTAAGCCGATCAAATCCACTGGCTCCAAATTTGAATGTAGCTTAATACTTTTTTTCTGAATTATCTACATAGATGTTTTGCTATCAGTTGGAAGAGCTCATTCGCTGGCTACATAAAATGGCAGAAGTTATAGATCACTGGGCTCCTCCCAGGCCAGACATTGAAAGTGTTAAAGCATCATTTCAAAACTACCTGGTAACTGCATTTTCTCCTTCATGAATTTCCATAGTGGGGTTCATTTTTATTACACTTGTAATACATATATATATATTTACGCAACTTGGGTAATATGCAGGCCTACAATTGCTAACCTGTTCTTGCAGTCCTTTGTAAAAGACATTGGAAAGATAATGCTAAGTCATCACATGTATTTCTTTGCATTGGCAGAATTGATGCTTGAAAGTGGCAGTTAGAGATAGCTGTAAAATAGCTTATCAAAAATATTTTAGTTTGATTAAACATTTTTAGTTAAGTTCTTAATCAGCATAAACACTGAACTCTTTTAACGCCCTGTATGGAATTTGTAAGAGCCAGTTTGATGCAGTGGTTGAGGTGCCAGGCTAGAAACTGGGATACTGTGAGTTCAAATTCTGCCTTAGGCCCAAAACAGCTGGGTGACTTTCTTGGGTGACTCTTCATCTATCAGCCTAGGAAGGAGGCAAGGAGTAACCCATTCTGAAAACCTTGTCAAGACAACAGCAAAGACCAGTCCAGGCAAGACAGCAGGAGTCCACTGACTTGGAGGCGCGCACGCGCACACACACACACACACACACACACACACATACACACGCACAAATATATCGATCTGTTACATACTTTATTCTGGATGCTGATTCTAATTCTTAATGTATTGTTTACCTAGAGAACAATTGTTGTTGGCAGATTAAAACATAAACAAAATTTGCAAAAGTAATTCATTCTATCACACACACACACACACACACACACTCACACACAAATATATCGATCTGTTACATACTTTATTCTGGATGCTGATTCTAATTCTTAATGTATTGTTTACCTAGAGAACAATTATTGTTGGCAGATTAAAACATAAACAAAATTTGCAAAAGTAATTCATTCTATCACACACACACACACTCACACACAAATATATCGATCTGTTACATACTTTATTCTGGATGCTGATTCTAATTCTTAATGTATTGTTTACCTAGAGAACAATTGTTGTTGGCAGATTAAAACATAAACAAAATTTGCAAAAGTAATTCATTCTATCACATGAAACCACTTAGCTTTTAGCCAGTAACAGGACAAAATTACTGTTCTCTGGCTATAATTTTGAAGAGATTTTCTTTCATTATGTATTGCACATATTCCTATACTAATGCAGTCAAAACAACTCTTGGTGACTTGCACAGGGAAAGAGCTGGAATAAATGAATTCCCTCATGAAACTTTAGCTACTTAAGTAAAAAGATTGCTAAAAGCATGAATTTGGCTCCCCCCCATTTTACTTAAAGGCTCCAAAGTATATACTCTCGACATATGCTCAGCATCTTTGAGTAGAAATAGTAGAAACTGCGGTATAAATACACCAACACTGATTCGTTATTTTCCCATTCTTTCTCTCTTCCTTTCTTTCTGTGAGCCAGGCCTGTGTTCCAGTTCGAATGAGCTATTCATTTTATATTTTGCCTGAAGTTTACATGTTCTCCAAAATAAACATGGAATACTGTACATCAAAATGTAAACCAGTAAAGGAATGTCCTGCCCTTTGTACTTTAAGTTAATTCTTGAGAATGAGACCTGCTCTAGGTAACCAACCATATTACTATGATTTTTCCTACTTTGTGGATTACATTTCACATTTCTTGACAGGAATTCAAAAAAGATTTAGCTGAGCACCAAGCACTGACTGAAAGTGTGATGCATGATGGGGAAAAACTTCTTAAATGCATGTCAACAAATTCACCAGGTAAGGAATCAATCACATACAGGAGTTTGAAAATACAAGTAGTCCTCACTTAACAATTATAATTGGGGCTGGAATTTCTGTCACTAAGCAAGTAATTGTGAAGTAGGGTGTCATGTGAACATGCTACTTAGTGACAGAAATTCCAGCAGTTCCAATAGCCATCATTAAGTGTATAGCCATAAGGTTTACTAAATAAGGATTACATGTAGTCACTATTTGTGACCTCCTGCTGGCTTTCCCATTGACTTTGTCAGAAAACTGGGTTGCAAATAGTGATAATGGATGCTATGAGCTTCATTTGTTACCTGGATGCCAAGCACCTATTTCGCAATCAAGTGGCTGTAAGGAAGCTACCGATAGCCAGAACTTCAAAGACTGGTAGCACGACTCATTCAATGCCATCATAAATTCAAACATGAATGCTTGGATTTAAGTCCTAGGGTGTTTGTCAGTAGGACTTACTTCTAGTAATTAGATACAGAATTTCAGTCTTAAGTTACACAAATTTCAATAAACAGATTTGTGATATGATCTAAAACAGGGGTCCTCAAACTTGGCTCCTTTATGACTTGTGGACTTCAAACTCCCAGAATTCCTCAGCCAGTGTGCCTGGCTGAGGAATTCTGGGAGTTGAAGTCCACAAGTCATAAAAAGGCCAAGTTTGAAGACCCCTGATCTAAAACATTACACAGAAGTAAACCAAATTAAGGATACGTTCTCTTGTAATTGGGAATGTAATAAATAGGATTATAGCTTCAGGACACATTGAAATAATTGAAACAAATATACTTTTTCTCTGAAAGGCGAACCAATTTAAGTTTGGATGATTGGGCAAACTTAAGTGTTTTCAAATTTTAATTCATTATTTGTAAAGGGTTGAATTGCAGAACATTAAAGTATTCGTGGCCATTTAACCTGTATATTGTAGCACGTGTTTATTATGTTATTTTGATATTCCATTTTTCCCCCAAGAAGCTTAAGTTTCTTTTCCCCCTTCCCTGTAATTTTATCTTACAATAATCCTTAAGGGAGAGTAAGCTGGGTAACTTCATACATTAAGTGAAGCTGAGAGAAAACACATTACAGCTTAATGTTCAGACAAGGGCCTGTCCTTTTGTAAAGGTATGGGAAAGAGGCAGAATATGTGCCGTTTCTAATCAGTGCATGGTTAAACAAAGGAACAAGATTCTGTAGCACTTGCTCTTGTAACTCCAGTGTAGGCATTTTGCAAAGCAGGCTTATATCCTGCTACTCAGCTGTTGCATGGTATAATTTCTATCCTGCTCTGTGCTTAATAGTTTTACAGAAAACTCTTGGCTTGATTGCAAAACATTCGGATATGCTTAAAAGCCATGCTGAACGATTGTATGAATCTATTTTAGCAGCAATATATACTCTTGATGACGGCTTGAGGAAGCATTGCGATGTTCAAGAAACTGTGGTCCACAAAGATACATCTGAGTAAGCAAGAGGGGAAGGATGCTGGGAAGGGTAGATATTAAATAATACATTTTTTTGTTGAAGTATATCTTCCTGGATCTCATGCTAAGGCCATGTAGAATTTTCTACATTGTGAACTAGCGAAACATCAATTCTGTCATCAACTCCTTAAAACCAAATGAATCAAAAAAGATTTAGGGTTGCCTTCCTGAATCTTGTTCCTCCAGAAATGGTGAAACAAAACAAAAGCTAAGAAGCAAACAAAAAGACTAGAACAGGGATTTTCAACCTTTTCACCCATTGTACCACTTTTAGAATATGGCAACATCTGAGTACCACCAGTCACCTAGCAAGGTGTCAAAAACTTGATGACCCCCCAAAAAAGGGGATAAAGTACAGGTAGTCCTCAACTTACAACAGTTCGCTTAGTGACTCTTATAAGTTACAATGGTACTGAAAAAAGTGCCCCCCAAGCCACAGCCTAGCAAGACACCTGCCTGCCCCCCCCCCCCCGCGGCGCTCTTCCTCCTGTCCGAGGTTTTCATTGTTGTGGGCATTTCTGTTGAGGATTGGCAGCGGGGGTGGGGTGGGTGTTTGATTTTTATTCCCTCATCTGCTGGGTGGTTGCAGCAGGTTTTGGTCACTTCACATGACCCTGGGACACTGTGACCATTATAAATATGAATCAGTTGCCAAGCATCTGAATATAAATCACAAGATCCTGGAGATGCTGCAACATTCCAGCTGATCAGCGCTTCTTCTGGGCTCAGCAGAAGGGTCAGGATCAGTGCTGCTTTCCAGCTGATTGGTGCTTCTTCGGGGCTCAGCAGAAGCACCAGGATCAGCGCCAAGCTCCAGGTGGAGCCTGGCACTGATCCTGGTGTTTTCACTGAGCCCTGACAGCTCCAAAGAAGCGCCGACCAGCTGGAAAGCGGCACTGATCCTGGTGCTTCCGCTGAGCCCTGACAGCCCTGCAGCTCCAGCCATCTCTCACTCAGGCTTGTGCGGTGCTGCCACTGGTTCAGCTCATTCCCCTCCCCTGCTACCACTTTTTTAGGATGGTCGCGTACACCTGCCAGGTGCCAAGGTACCACAGGTGGTACCTGTAGCACTGGTTGAAAAGCCCTGGACTAGAACACATCCTCTCCAGCAGCCAACACTCGGATAGGCAGGGATTAACACTAGACAAACAAAAAATTGTACTCTAATCAAGGATATACTAAGGAGAAAAACCACACCCACACCGACAGTGACTAAGACAAGGCAAACTACTATATATAAACAGGGAGCAAACCCCACACTCACTAGCACTTATGATGTTATCTTGTCAGGAAATGAAATGTATGCAAACAAACAAACAAGCTCAGAGAGCACCAAGGGTTCCACAGTGAAACAACTCTCCAAATTGCACTGCTTGTGTGGCTTTGGCCACAGTGGTTAACAATGCCAGTTGTGAGAGTAAAGTAGGCAACTACATCTGTTTGGGGCAAGTTTAGCATGAAAAAGAATATTCAACATTTCACAAAAGAGAATAAAGTGATTTAAGAATAATGAATGAAGGCACCACTGGCTTTCTCTATATTCCTTTTTTTAAATTATTCTTTTATCTTGTTGGGGGCAATAGGCTGACTCTATAAACTGCTTAGAGAGGCTGTAAATAGGCTGTAAAGCACTGTGAAGCAGTGTATTAAGTGCTATGGCTGCTATTAAGTTAGTAATATGGTGGTTAAGTGAATTTGGCTTCCTCATTGACTTTGTCATCAGAAGTTTGCAAAGGGTGATCACATGACCCCTGTACACTGCAGTTTAATAAATACATGCCAGTTTGTTTGTTTGTATCCCGCCTTTTATTATTTTTAGACATAAGGCAGCAGACTAACCAACACATCCTCGTCCTCCTATTTTCTTCACAACAACAATCCTGTGAGATGAGTTGGACTGAGAGAGAATGACTGGCCCAAGGTCACCCAGCTGGCTTTCATGGCTAAGGCCTTAACTACTAGACTAAACTGGCTTTCCCAATTGCCAGGTGTCTAAATTTTGATCATGTGACTAAGGCAGTGTTTCTCAACCTTGACAATTTTAAGGCATGTGGACTTCAACTCCCAGAATTCCACAGCCAGCATTGCTGGCTGTGGAATTCTGGGAGTTGAAGTCCACATGCCTTAAAATTGTCAAGGTTGAGAAACACTGGACTAAGGGGATGTTGCAACTGTTGTGCGAGAAATGGTCATCTCACTTTTTTCAATGCCAATGTAACTTCAAACGGTCACTAAACAAATGGTTGTAAATCCAGGACTACCCTGCATTGCATTCAGACCCCTTCACTTTTGTCAATTTTGTTATGCTGCGTCCTGATTCTAGTTGTTGAAACTCATTTTTTTCTCCTTAATTTACACTCAGTACCCCATAATGACAAAATGAAAATAGAATTTTAGAAATGTTATTTAAAAAAAGTACTCAGATCCTTTGCAACAACACGTGAAATTTAGCTCAGATGCCTCCATTTTTCTTGATCGTTGCTGACATGTTTCTACACTTTGATTGGAGTTGACCTGTGGTAAATTAAATTGATTGGACATGATTTGGAAAGGCACACACCTCTCTATAGAAGGTCTCATAGCTGATAATGCATACTGTAGCAGAGCAAAAGCCATGAGGTCAAAGAATCTCCCTGCAATGCTCAGAGATAGGATCATTTCAAGGCTGTCTGGGGAAGGCTACAGTAAAATTTCTGGTGCACTGAAGGTTCCTAAGAACACAGTGGCCTCCATAATTCTCAAATGGAAGAAGTTTGGCACAACCAGGACTTTTCCAAGAGCTGGTCGCCCGGTGAAACTGAGCAATTGGGAGAAGGGCCTTAGTAAGAGAGGTGACCGAGAACCCGATGGTCACTCTGAGCTCCAGAGATCCTGTGTGGAGATGTTGGACAACAATCACTGCAGCTCTCCACCCATCTGGGCTTTATGGCAGAGTGGCTAGACGGAAGCCTCTCCTTAGTGCAAAACACATGAAAGCCCGCTTGGAGTTTGCAAAACCAAGATTGAACTGTTTGGCCTCACTTCTAAATGTTGTCTGGAGGCACCGCTCATCACCTGCCCAATACCATCCTAACAGTGAAACGTGGTGGCAGCATTATGCTGTGGGAGTGTTTTTCAGCAGCAGGGAATGGGAGACTGATCAGGGTTGAGGGAAAGCTGAATGGAGCAAAGTACAAGTATATCATCAATGAAAACCTGTTCCACAGTGCTCAGGATCTCAGACTGGGCCAAAGGTTTACTTTCCAAGACAATGATCCTAAGCACACAGCTAAGACAACACAGGAATGGCTTAGGGACAACTCTGTGAATGTCCTAGAGTAGCCCAGCCAGAGTGCTGAGTTGAACCCTATTGAACATCTCTGGAGGGACCTGAAAATGGCTGTCCATTTTGGATGGTCACCATCAATCTGAGCTTGAGAGGATGTGCAAGAAAGAATGGCAGAAAATCCAATACAGGTGTGTAAAGCTTGTGTGTCATACCTCAAAAGACTTGAAACTCTAATTGTTGCCACAGGTGCTTCAACAAAGTACTGAGTGAAAGAGCTGAATAATTATGCCAATGTATTATTTCAGTTTTTTCTTTTTAATAAATTTACATTCATTTTAAAACTTGTTAGGCTGCAGCATAACAAAATTGACAAATGCGAAGGGGATCTGAATACTTTCTGAATGCACCGTAAATTACCTTAAAATGCTGATGCAGCATTTAAAAAAATGTAGTGTGTGCTTTTATTTATGTAGGGTATAAGTCTAATTTGAATAATTCCTCATTTCAGATAATGTGTCAGTTATGTGATACTCAGTAATTTCTATTTAAAATGTGAGAATAGAAATAGAACAGCTGTTTATGGTTTTATTTCAGATAAAACTTCTGTTGATATGGATGAATGAAATAACTACATCCATAAATATGATGAGGCTCCCCCTTCAAGAAATAAGAACTTTTCCTTCAAAATTTTGATGTGCTACAATGACATCAAGCTTGGTTTCCAAGTTCAGAAGGTACAACAATGGGCTTTGTATCTGGCAACAAAGTGTTGAAGAACAGTGTGGAAGGGAAACTTCTGATGTTGGAGGTTTAATAATGCATTTCTAATTTGAATATTTATTTGCCGGGGCTCTGCATTCTTCAAAAATTATTCAGAAGTGTTTATGTGAGACACAAATTCCACTGAGCCTAAAAAAAAGCTGCAGTTGGTTTGAAAGTCAGATCACGAATGGACTTCTTAAAGTAGCAGCACTTCATTTTCAGATTTGTGTTGCTGCCTGAAACAAAATAGAGACTGCTATATAAAACAGCCGAAATACTTTATGGGAGATCCAAAGTACTTCAAAATAATAATCAAAAAATGTATAGCCCTATTATTTGTTTTGTATTTTTTTCAATTAATAATTGTAAGTCTTCAGTTTATCTCATGTGACAAATTATATGGAAGCTACATTTCAAATAAAGCAACTTTATTATTTTAAAACATGCACTGTAGGTAAATGATTTCAGTAAGTTAAATAATAGTCCATTAAAGCTGCAATTACATGACTTGTATGGTATTTGTGCAACACTCATGCTAAAGAAATTATTATTTATTTTTTTGAAAGCTTCAGGCACTGTTCACCTTCACTTACCAATCACTAGATTGTAAGATAACTTTTCTGTGTCATTGATAGACTTTAGTTATAAATTCTTGGATGAAGGGTGGTTCTGTTTTTATAATAAAATACACGAGACTCAGTTTGTAACAGAAAACTTGTTTAATAGTGTAGCATGAATAGACTTCCATATACCCTTTTTTGCTGCCTCCATAAGCTTTGTAGTTAGGGATACTAGCTCCTGACTGCCTGTAATCCTGAATCCATATTAGAGCTTAAAAAAGAATTCTGTGCATTCAGAGATAAAACTCTTCCTGTTCTTTACGATTGGCTAATAAGAGTGCTTACCATATTAATAATCAAATTCCAACTTTTGAAACTGCAATTTCCAAGCTGTATGAAGAGCAATTGATAGACTAAAGATAATATCTCCTTCCTAAGCTGTTCAACTTTCCTTCCCACTGGAAACAAGAAGAAATGAAGTTTCTTTTAAGGGGTAGGTGAAAAATTATTTATTAAATTTGTTTGCCATCCATCTCACCACAAAGTGACTACATAGTATCAGATCTCTTAGCCTTGTTCATACAGGTAAATCTGAGCGAAGGTTTACTAAATTAATGCAGTAGCTTGAATTTGCATGCATACTGATTCACTTTTTAGCCTGGCGTGATGTGCAAATAGCCTATTAGATACCTTTGTATGTTCTTAAGTGCTTTTTAGATACATAGGGTTATGAAAACACACCTCACATGCGAATAAGGCTGGATTTTAGACATTTTAAAAATATACTGGTATATCTCTTTTTGGATTTATATTTGTTTCCTTCTTCTGAATGACAGCATTTAGCTGTAATAGTTGGAAAGAGGCTCTAGAAGACCAAAACAATGGAATCTGGGTGTGCCCTCAAGTATTGAAGTCTTAGTTTGCTCACATTAGGGCCAAGAGATCATGAAAACTTTTTACAAAACACGAAAACTTAGAACTCAAATATTTTCAGACATTTACAAATCAGATGTACTCTTTCCCAAATCTGTTGCCTTTTGTAGGCTTCCCAGATTTAAAAAACATACAACTAGAACTGACACATAAATTGAAAAAAAAGTATAGTCACTTTGTTCAGAATATGTTAACAAACTACTGTTTTAAAAGAAACATGGATATAGTCTAGCAAACAAATGTATTGAAATAGTATTCTAAGCCAGCAGAATATTCTAAGGTCAGAACAGTACACTTTATTTTTAAAAAAAGTGTGCTCAGTTAATAGCATTTAGAGTATTATTTTCAAGAGCTTCAGCACTTTCAAAATGACCCCAAATCATCATTTAAATATTGTAGTCGATTTTCTTCTATGTAACATTTCTTTATGAATTGATACAATACTAAAAGCACATTATGAATCAACTGATCAAACATTTCTCATTCCGAAGTACACTTTATTGTTGAAGTTAAAGAGCAAATTCAAAAGTTCAATAATTTCAATTTTCTAACAACAGTACTATGAAGAATTAAGGTATTGTGTGTTCCAGTTGCAGATCACTAAATGTTTATCCCATAATGGGAATGAAATTTTCTCAGAGATTTGCTAATACATTTGCCTCTCAATCACATCTGAGTATTTGCTTACAAAAGTGTCAACGACCCTTTTAAATTATTTTGTAAATAAGATATTCTTTTATCAAGTTGGTAACTTTAAAACCCAGATATCAGGCACTAATGGATTAGTTTCTTTATACAAAAGTTCTACATATGGTTACTGAAGCAATAATCAAGCCATATTTTTTGCTCAAATTCACATATGTATTTAAATGCTTCCTCCCTGCACAAATGTATATTTGTCTTTTGGTCAGCCGCCTTATTACTATGCCTTCCACTGTAGCTTTCTTGTGCCTTTGTGTGCATAACCAAGCCGACCAATAAATTGCACAAACTTTTATTAAAGTCAACAGTATTGATTGTGAGAGAATGGAAGTAACATTATTTAGAAAAGACATAACATATCATTAGAGTTAACATCATCTTGTTAGCTTGAAGTCATTCATACTTTAGGAAAAATACTGTTTCCTTTTCTATGACAGAGCAAGAGAGACAAATAATTTCTAAATGGAACCATTCAGAAATAAATTCAAACACAATTAGGATGCAAGGGGGAAGAGAGATGGTACATCTAGAGTGATTATGGTTCTATAAACAATGGTATAAGTTGTGTTCCAAGTACAGCGCACATGCCAGACGTACATGACACTTGAGTCACGTAGGCCTTATTTGCTAGTCATTTGCTGGGCTGGGCAGGTATAGTCTAGAAGGAAGTGATTTTAAAGTGCCAGTACCGCACACAAAAAGTTCACTGGGGACACAAGGCAAGCCTTTCCCCTTGTTCATAAGAATTAAGACAATACTTATCACCATACAGTTTGATATTACTTCCAGTAAGTACAATATTTATTAAACATTTCTTCAGTTTGTTACATTTTGTGCAACAAATTACAAGAGTCTGCAGCCACAAATTATACGTAGAGTATGAAGAAAAATCAGCATCTGCGATCCAAAGAACTATTATGGGACTGCAACTTCCTTTTGAATGGCAATCCCCCTCCCCTTTGTGAAATGCCCTGCTGTTTCAAAGGGGGTTGCCAAGGGAGGTGCTGCTCAAGAGTCCAAACCTGCTTTGGCTGCACACGGCTATTTAGGGCTGATCCCAGGTAGTGTTTTCTTTCCATTTTCTTAGAGCTCTACATGGAACTAGCAAATTTGATTTTACACAGAATGCTTTATGAACTTTATGCGTGGAAAAGTGACAGCCACATTTGGGCTGTTGAATACAAAAAAAAAAAAAAAAAGACTAAACTTCATCTTCAGAAGCCTAAACCCGACATCTAAACGTGCCAATATGATCTGAACAAAATAATGTTCAAAGTTTTAGCCAAGCACAGGAAACAACCTGGTATAAGAAAAAGTAACAAAGATTACACACATTTATAAACCAGCACACAAAAGGTTTAACACATTTCTGAAAATGAAGTTAGCTTTATTGAGTCGGGGGAATAAAAAAGTCAGTATTGACCATTTACAATCTCTGACCTTTGTGAAGACGTTAAGATCTGTTGTAGTGCAGCTACATACAGTACAATTCAGGCATTTTTCAGTTGGGTTCAGATTTCAAATTCATTGTTGAGAAAGAGTTGGGGAGGAAAGTTTTTAACAGCAGCCTCCGCTGGACTGCTTGACTGGAGTGCTCTGAATTTTAACGTTGGATTTCTCTGCGCCACCTGATGTTGCTCCAGGACCCATTCGTTTTTTGATCTCAGCAGCCATGGTCATGAAAGATTGTTCTACATTGGTTGCATTTTTTGCACTGGTTTCCAAAAATGGAATCCCAAGAGAATCTGCAAATTCCTGTAGAATGAAGACATCACTATTAGTTCTGTTATCCAGATTTGGAAAAGAAGGGGAAGCATCAGAAGGATTCTGACATATCCTCACATAGATTTAACTATTATTAGTTTTGTTTTTCATACAGCCTTCCTTTCAGAAATTCAGGGCAGCATACTCAGTCCTCATCTTCCAAGTTTATGATCACAACCTTGTGAAGGCGGCTAGGTGACTGGCCCAAATTCAACCAATGAAGTTCCGCTAGTAAATACAGACTTGAATGTGGGCTTCCCTAATCAAATATCATAACCACTACACCACACTCATTCTCAGCATTATACACCTTCTAGTTTATAATGACTGCAATGGATTCAACCGTACTTTTTGAAGATTAAAGCTGTTTAGAAGATAGGCATACCTTTGCTGTTGTATAATCTACGACTTTCTTTGTGGTCAGATCACACTTGTTTCCTACCAACAACTTGTTAACATTTTCACTGGCATAACGATCTATTTCTTGAAGCCACTGTTTTACATTATTGAAAGACTCCTAAAAGATAAAAGAATATATTAAATCTAAGCTCAGCCATTTAATATAGTGTGTTTGTATTCTAAGACAAATCCCAATGCATTTTAAACATAATCCCAATAGTGTCCGCCTCTCTCCTTTGCTTTACAAATTAGGAGTTTCTGGCTTGAATTAAGAAAGATTTTTCTCTCTGCCTCAAGACTCTTCTTTTATGCAAAGACACACCATAATTTGTGGAAGCATCAGGGACGGGGTGGTGAGATGATTTAAAATGCAGCAAGACATCTTACAAGGAGAACTAAGACTTCAAAGCAAGAGGATGTACAGTCACCACCTAATTCAATCATCCCTTCATCTAATTGCTGTTATATACAAAGTTACACTTCCCTATGACATGCTCATGCAATTCCTTCAAATGCCCAACTAACAAACACTTACCTGATCTGTAACATCATACACAACTATGATGCCATGAGCTCCTCTGTAGTAACTAGAAGTAATTGTTCGAAATCTCTCTTGTCCTGCTGTGTCCCACTATGAAAACAAACAAAAAAATATGTTGAAAAGTGCTTAAAAGACTGCACCCATTCTGATCTGATAACCGGGCAGATTTAAAAAAAAACTGGTAATACCACTAGTCAACTTAACTATTCTGAAATACCTACCGCAGATCAGATGAAATAAAATAACTGAAACAATGAAACAGAATCCACTTCACTGAAATCAACTATAAAATGCTGTTGGGGATTTAATGTTAAGCTCATGGCATTACCAGGAGGCACCAGTAAAAAGTCCTTTCTTGCCATCTCTTTTAAACCTTTAAATCAGGGGTAGTTAACCTTGGCTCTTTTATGACTCGTGGACTTCAATTCCCAGAATTCCTGAGCCAACTTAGCTGGCTCGGGAATTCTGGGAGTTGAAGTCCACGAGTCATAGAAGAGCCAAGGTTGCCTACCCCTGCTTTAAATAGAAACCCCATTCTGATGTTTCAGGGCAAGCTCTCCACACAATTCTTATTTCTGAATTAGCTGGTTAGCCATCTGCACTTTGAATTCTGCCTTATTACCTCCAAGGAGGCTTTGTTGAATCTAGGTTTCATTTGTCAACAAATGGGATTTTTTTGTTCATGGCAGGTGTTACCTGGATATGCCCTCAAACAATAGGAGCCTTTTGGTAAATTTTCCACAAAGTACCTTCAAGCTACAAAATGCTGAGCAACTCTTTTATATAGGCTTAATGTATAAAACTATTCAGTTTTGCTGCTGCTCGTCAGAATTTGGAATTGGTCACAATGCAGATTTGCTTATGGCATCACTACCCTATGAAGCTTATAATGCCCTAGATCAGTGATGGCGAACCTTTTAGAGGCCGAGTGCCCAAACTGCAACCCAAAACCCATTTATGCATCGTCGAGTGCCGGGTGGGTGTGGCCCATTGGGTGGGTGTGGCTGCCGTGATAACGGCAGACTGGATGGGACTAAAAAGTTCAATCAATCAATTCCAACTTTGCGAGATCTTTTTTTTCCCACGAGAAGTTGAAATTGACTGATTGAACCCCCCCTTTTTTTGCACATGTCGGCAGAGGCCTAAAGCAAAAAGGTTTTATAAAACCCAGCTGAAGGCCTAGGACTGGGGTGACGATGCGCGTGCCCACAGAGAGGGCTCTGAGTGCCGCCTCTGGCACCCGTGCCATAGGTTCGCCACCACTGCCCTAGATAGCTCACCCTTTCGAGATTTACCAATGGACAATACTTACTATCTGAAGCTTGATAGTTTTGCCATCTAGCTCTATAGTTCTGATTTTGAAGTCCACCCCAATTGTGCTGATATAACTTTCTGTATATGTGTCATCCTAGGAAGAGGAAACATTTTTAGAATCATTAGCAATACTGCATTCCAAAGCATCACCACCACAGAAAGGAAAAACCTGTCTTAGAATAAACAAATACTTGATTAAAATTCCAACTGAAGCCATGATGGATAAATTTGCTAGGATTTTAGCAAAGAATGAGTAGCTTCTAGTTGAGACTGCTCAGATGATGATGGGATGGTTCAGTGAACATTATCAGATTGCCATTAATTGATCATACAGGTAGTCCTTGAATTGTGATCACTTGGGACTGGAATTGCCATCATAAGTTATGACTGTAAATTGAATCGCACCTGATTCAAGACAACTTTTACAGTGGTGGTTATGTAAAACATTCAATTGTTAAGCAGATATAGCTTCCCCAATGGGTGTTTTGCCATAAATTGGCAAAAAAAGGTACATGATCACATGACCACAGGACGCTGCAATCGATGATAAAGATGGTTGCCAAGAATCCGAGTTGCAATCACATGACCATAGGGGTGATGTAATGGCTCTAAGTGTGAGTATACTTTTCTGTAAGTCACTTTTCCAAGGCCATCATAACTTTGAAACGTCGTTAAATGAAGAGCCATAAATTAAAGACTACCTATATCGTAGAAGTCAATTTTGAAGCCAGAGAAAGAAGAAATTAGAGCTGCTTTCTCTGGCTTGTTGAGAGAGTAACTTACTTTAAACTAATGATTAATACAATCAAGCCATTTATATGTTTAGTGTACCACACAAACATCACCAATTATAGGATTAGATCGTATAGTTTGCACTTACTACAGGTAGTTCTCAACCTACAACCACAATTTGAGTCCAAAATTTCTGTTGCCCAGTGAGACAGTTGTTAAATTAGTTTTGCTACATTTTATGACTTTTCTTGCCACAGTAGTTAAGTGAAAAACTGCAGTTGTTAACTTGGTAATAGTGAATCTGGCTTCCCCATTGACTTTGCTTGCCAGAAGGTCGCAAAAGCTGATCACGTGATCCCAGGACATTGCAACCGTCATAAATATGAACCAGTTGCCAAGTGCCTGCATTTTGATGACATGATGCTGCAACAGTTGTGTGAAAAACAGTCATAAATCACTGTTTTCAGTGCTGTTGTAACTTTGAACGATCACTAAATGAACGGTTGTAAGTTGAGGACTACATATGCAGTGAGAGAAAAAAAATATTTGATCCCCTGCTGATTTTGTACATTTACCCACTGACAAAGAAATGATCACTCTATACTTTTAATGGTAGGTTTATTTTAACAGTGAGAGACAGAATAACGAAAAATCCCAAAAAGTTATAAATTGATTTGCATTTTAATGAGTGAAATAAGTATTTGATCCCCTATCAATCAGCAAGATTTCTGGCTCCCAGGTGTCAGAAAGGGAGTGCTCCTATTTTCAGCTTGTTACCTGTATAAAAGACACCTGTCCACAGAAGCAATCAATCAATCAGATTCCAAACTCTCCACCATGGCCAAGACCAAAGAGCTGTGCAAGGATGTCAGGGACAAGATTGTAGATCTACAAAAGGCTGGAATAGGCTACAAGACTATCGCCAAGCACCTTGGTGAGAGGGTGACAACAACTGCTGTGATTATTCGCAAATGGAAAAAGCAAAAAATAACTGTCAGTCTCCCTCAGTCTGGGGCTCCATGCAAGATCTCACCTTGTGGAGTTTCAATGATCATGAGAACAATGAGGAAACAGCCCAGAACTACATGGGAGGATCTTATCAATTATCTTAAGGCAGCTGGGAGCTGTCAAACATCAGCCTGGAAAACTTAATGACTTGGAGAGGATCTGCAAAGAGTGGGACAAAATCCCTCCTGAGATGTGTGCAAACCTGGTGGCCAACTCCAAGAAACGTCTGGCCTGTCTGATTGCCAACAAGGGTTTTGCCACCAAGTACTAAGTCATGTTTTGCAAAGGGGTCAAATACTTATTTCATGCATTAAATTCCAAATCAATTTATACCTTTTTTTGAAATGCGTTTTTCTGGATTTTTTTGTTGTTATAATAAACCTACCATTAAAATTATAGACTGATAATTTCTTTGTCAGTGGGCAAACGTACAAAATCAAC